ATTCAGTATTCTTGAGTTTTTTAAAAAGAAATTTAATCGATTTTGAACCAAAGAGGTAAATGGAATTATTAAGTTGGCGTGCGAAATAAAAGTAAACCAATTCTTCTTTCAGCTTTCAGCTTAACCTGAATAGTAATATACATTATTAATCATACGCCACGTAAACGCAATTGACTGCCGAAACAAGGTAAACAAGAATAGGCTTATAGGAAATCAATATATTCGTTAAATGTAATAACAATAACTAATCGAAAGGCCAAACAGTCAATTGTATCAAAAAAAAAGGCTAAAACTGTAGCTGTTGTTAGTTGTCGTAAGTTGTTGCTGCTGTCGTTTGTTGCTATTGCATTTGTCGTCGGTTGTCGTAATTGAAACTATAAATAGAAATGTATCAAATGCGAACAAGAATTATACACAGTAAGCAATTTGCGCCAACAGAATAATTAACATTTTTAGAGCTTAAGCATTTAAAGGCTATATTTGCCTTTAATTAAATTCCAAAAATGATTTCAAATTATGAGTGAAACGATTTTTAATTTAAGGCAATGTTTTCATAGCTTCACAAATAATATCTAAAGATATCTAAAATGCAAACAGTATTTGAGCTTAATTGAATTTAGCTGGAAAAAGAATCTACAGTAAATTTCACAAGGAATTCAAATTTCCTTACTGTATACAAGTATAATTCAGACTTTACGAAAGCCGTTTATAAATAGACACGACATCGGGCGCAGACTGAAGGCCAAGCAAACTGATGAGGGGCTCGGGGGAGGCGAGTGCAAAGAAACCAGAAATAAACAGACACAAACACTTAAATTAAATGCGAACCGAGAGCTTAATGCAGTTAAAGTCAGCCATACAATGGGTGAAAGAGTACATGCCGGCCAGCCAGAAGGAGACGGAGAAGAAGGACACGCAGCCCTCACTCACCATTTAGCCCAGCGTTGCAAAAGTATTGCTGCGTGCTGCTCGTCGCTTTCGGGCTGGCGGGCACTTTAACACGTGCCATGGACTTGACTTATGCAATCACAAAACGTCGACGACAATGCCTCTGACAATTGTTTAACCACCCGACTCACCACAAGCCACCAGCAGTTCTTACACCTGCTGGCATGTGAAACGCCCATTAAGGCGTCCAAATGTCTCGCCTTAAAAAGTATGCCACGTCGAATATTTTTTAACTATTTCTGTTCCACCATTTCCGTTTCCGGCTGTTATTGCGCTTGTCGCTGACAGTTCGCAAATTGCTCTACCTTCACATACACAATTTAATTCAGTCAATAATTTTTTTGTTTTTTTTACATATTTTCTTTGACCATTTTTTATTTATACATTTAATGACATATTCATGTGTGTTTTGTTTTATATTTTTGCTGAATTGTTTGTTGTTTGCTGTTGACATTTCGGGCCACCCTGCATTAAATTTATGAAGTGCGTGTACGAAACAACAGCAGGTATTATTTATGATTTCCACGAGCTATTTTGACTAATTATGCCAATAATATAAATACTAGACATTCTTGTATATAGATTAAAGAAAGGCTGTAGAAATTGTCTGTTCTTGATCGTCATAAACTTACCATAAGATAAGTAAACAGAAATATATTCCTCCTACAACTCAAACCCCAAAACCATTGTCATATTTTATTACATTTTTCTACATATATTTCAAGTATATTATAATTTTCTTAATACCCTTAGCTCCTTTCTATTAATACCCCATTTCATTTAAGTTACTGCAGTATATTAATAATATAATTTCTTCTCGTAAATATATTACGTATATTACTTTGCATTTTTAGTATGACTAAAATGTATGTGGCTGAAAAGCCAAGTATTTTGTTTTGTATGCACATTTTCAAGGCTGTCTCTTTCTTTTTATTTTGGCAATTTTGCAAATGTCGCCAACAGAGCAGAGCACTGTGAATTATACTCGTATTATGGAAGATTTCGCACAGCGGTCTAATCTAGCATATAACTTACAACTGTGACGGGGCAGAAATTGCGCCCGCAGATACGAAATGCAAGGAAAACATTAGCAGAACCTGCAGCAACGGACTTGCCCTTTTGTATATTGTGGAAAAATGCTGGTGATGCTGCAAGCTGTCCCTTTCAAGTGTCCTTTCGCATGCAGTGTGCTGTGTGCAGTGTGCGCAAAAGTTTTCACATATCCTACATAAGTAGAAATATATTTGCTGCCTCATATATGGCCATTTCACGAACAATTGCCGCAGGGCTGCATGCAACTCATATTTGTATTCCTTTATGCGTTTTGCAATAACAAATGGTGCGCGCTCGCCAACAATGTGAAGGTCCTTCTAATGAGCCTGACCCAGAATGTGTGCAAGCGATCCTGGTTGACTTTCGAAGCAATTTCCTTTGGCCATAAAATGTCAACACAACTCTACCTTAAGGTCCTTAAGCGGCAGTTGAGTTGTATTTGCAGTTGCTCTTCCTGTTGTGTTTTTGCAGTTATTATTATTCCTCTTGCAGTTGCAGGGGCAACTAATGCAATCAACTGCTCTGTTAAACGAGTTAGTTGTGCCAGTCAAAGCTCACACTTTGTATGCTGGTGGCAGCTTGTAATAAAAGTTTAACAACTCTTGCCGGCAGTTGATTCTTTTATTTTTATTCGACTTGATATTGTTGTTCTTCTTGTTATGTTGCTGTTCGTGAACAATGTGCAGGTTTATGCAACATGCAGGTGCCACTACAATTTGAAGTGAGTCGAATCCTTAAAAGACGAATTATAAATACCCTTGACATATGTTTTCTCCATTCTTGTTGTAAGCTTGTCTCCTTAAAAATCACATTTGGAGATGGCTCTAATCTTTCAACAGCCATAACTTTCAAAAAACTGATCAGATTATCAAAAACCAGGCATTTTTAAACATGGTTTGAGCTCCAGATTAATACTGCCTCCAAACCTGAAAACGCGATTCTAACTTGATTTTTAAGTTAAAATTATAGTCTAGATTAATTCTACATCTACAATTACAAACAAGATTCTGACTCAATTTTCATGTTAAAATTGTTCTCCAAAACTATCACATTTTCGGGTGGTTCAAAACTGTCTACCCTTTGTCAAAAGTGATCCGTTCATGTTAAATTTATACTTTAACAAGTGTTTTTAGGCAAGACTTAAAAAGTTTCCACAACCTGTTAAGCTTTATAATACCCATTTTATAAATTTTCAAAGGGCTTAGGGGTATAAAAAGAGGACATGATATACCTTCCAATGGCCATCGCTGAGCGTGACACATATTCTGTGGCATAATTAAAATGCCCAACGCAACAAGTGTATAAAGAAAGAGAGCAAGAAAGAAAAGAAAAATAAGAACAACAATGACAGCAACAAGTTACCACCATCGATTGTTATGTTGACAGCCTGGCAACTCATTTAGCGGCAGCTGCTCCAAATTTATACACGTCCGAGGCGACATGAGGACTCGTATATCCTATAAATGCCACAAGAACCGCAAAAAATAAATGCCACCCACAAATTTCCTAGGAGGACCAACGTTTAGTTCGTATCCTGTTTGCTGCGGCTGCAGCTCATCCTCTTCCCCCTCTACTCATCCACAGAGATTATTTTTTTTTTTGGTGTTGCTGCTGTTGCGGATTGTTGTTTTGCTTTTCCGCGCTCGCAGCGGCGACAACATCAACAACAAAACCCGACAAGCAACAAACAATAATTTATGCTTGTTAGTTTACTTTGTAAAGCAGTTTATTCCGCACTTTCTTTGTTGTTTTATAAGTACATATTTAGCTCCCAATGACGTTGATGCGATTGAAACTGTTGGTGCTTACAGACAAAGCGAGAGGTGTGGGGATATTGTGTGCCTGGACTTATATTGCAATAGATTAACTTAATTTAAGTGTCGCCTTTCGCTGTGCACTGCAATTTATGAGACAGCTTTGCTCTTACGGAAAAAGAATCACTTTTATTGGCAAAAAATTCAATTCTTGAAAAGAGTCCTAAATAATGCGTTTCTGACATAACTTGGACCAACATAATCATCTTACAGCGAACGGCTCTAAGTTTTCTACAACCATAACTTTGTCTAGAATGAATCGATGTTCAAAAATAACAAATTTTTGGTTATTCTTGCTCGAAGTTCATGTACAAATTTAAGCTAAAAAAATATAAACTTTCAAAATGGGCTTAAAACTTTCCACAGACATAAATTTGTCAAAACTGAAGCGACTTTCAAAAGTAATAAATTGTTGGTCTTCTAGATTAAAATTGCATTCAAGTTTGAAAACACATATTTCACGTATAAGTTCTAAACTTATCAGAACCGAATTTTTAGGCTTCATTGGAAAGTAAAAGCAGTTAATTATTTTATGTTTATTATTTCTGAAATTTGCATAATAGTTCGAAACTTGACTTTATAATTGCTTTGTTAAGTTATGTATGAAAAAGTTTGCTTTGTTAACGCTGTGGGCTGAAAGTAGGTAAAGCAGCGAGCAAAGAACATACTGCTGTGGCTTAAAAATAAACACACACTCACACACACACAGACATACACACCCTACACAACTTTGTTGCGTGTTTGGTCTTAATCCAGTTAGCTGTGCTTTATTTTTTATTAGCTCTCAAATAGTTAGTTGCAGGGACGTCATGTGGATACCACAGCACAGCGGCAGCTCTTAGCTATATATAATTATACACATAAATAAATTTATATATACATGCGTGTGTCTCTTTTCATATTATTTTAAGCCCCGACCCCCGCCGCACACCGCAGCAAGCTAATGCCAATAATGCGCAAGCTGCCAACATAATTAATTTAATTCCATAGTTAACTCTTCGCAATGTCCAACAACTAACGAACTCTCATTGAAATTACTTAGAGCTTGGAATGTATAATTTTATATTTCAGATGGCCCACGAACTGAGTAGTTTTTGAGTGTTTTTTGATTGCACTACGTGACTGCCAGCAAATTGCATTCAAATGAAATTTAAAATACCTTTTCCTACACTTGTTTCTTTGCAGATTACGTCCGAAGCAGAGAAGGTAATAGGGATATAGAGTGCAAGTGTGATATATATTCACACCCAGACACACGCACGCCCATAATAAATCTAATAAATAAATAAGCGAAACACATAAGTTGAAATGGATTCTGCTGCTGCTGCTGCCGCCAAGCGCGTACAAATCGAGAAGGCGCACAATTTTATGCGCCAGTATCGTGATCCAGAATCGCGCGAGCTAAAGAAACTATCAGCCAATCAGTTTATGGACGTGTGGGCGCACTACGATAAAGATGGTATGTATCACAAAGCATACACTTCAAATGAAAACCAGGTCCTGAACACTAGAAAATCACCAAAAAGAAAATATATACTTAATCTTAAGTAGGAAAGTTAACACATTCAAGAAATTCGAATAAACTTTAACTTTGTTACGGAATCAAAGGTGATTTTCTAAATTCTGTGGCATGTGTTTTTCTGAGTGTATGTTCGACCCTCCTCCGTTGCCAACTGACAGCTTTTCTTGGCTTTGGCCGGCAGGCAATGGTTATATTGAAGGCACCGAGCTGGATGGCTTTCTGCGTGAGTTTGTGTCCAGCGCCAATGCCACGGACATTAGTCCCGAGGTGAGTGCATAGTGCCGAGTCATCAGTTGACTCTGGAATGTTTTGCCACAAACTACATCATACTTTCTTTCCCCAGGCTGTCACCGACACAATGCTGGAGGAGCTGAAGTCCTGTTTCATGGAGGCCTATGATGACAATCAGGATGGCAAAATCGATATCAGAGAGGTTTGTTACAGAACTCACATGCATTTTACACTCGACACTCGTCAGCACAACTGCTTAACATGTTTTGGGTAGCATCATCTTGTTGCAAACTTTTTTTTCGTAATTTTCAGCACTTTTTCTTTTTGATGACAAGCGCACACGTGTCGTATACACAATATGTCTGTACGCGTACATTTCTCGCATTTAGTTCAAGGATTCAGAATTGAGCACGTGATGGGTTTAAAATATTGCGTTCAGTAAATCACGACCTCAATGACTTAAACCGACCTTAGGACACTTGGCACGGTTTCAAAACGACTTAGCTGAGCTCGATTTATTACGAAAAAACCAAAAGTACTGCTTACAATTGTGAAAAAACAGAAAGTTTCTCTAAAAAGGAAAAGCTTTCAGTTCTGAACTAAATATACAGAAAATCAATATAAATGCAAGTCATCTCGCATTGGTCAAATATTCTCCCATTTGCAATATTTGTTTCGTGATAGTATCACTGAAAGTATCGCACATCTCTCATTGGAGTGTTTTTCTACTTTTGCTGCTGCATTGGAAAATTGCTTTTTAAATGAAGCAGACGTTCTGGCGGTTTCTCTTCTCTCTTGTGCTCCAATAATTTATTTAGCCATTTTCGCCACCAAAGTTTTGTGGCAAAGACTTACGAAAAAGTTTCTTTCGCTACCTCTTTAAATGAGTTTTTAATTGAGGCTTACAGCAGCAGCAGTCGTCGACAGCAGCAAGCTGAAGACTATTGCCAGACACTTTCCTGCATTGTATGACTTAAGAATTGAATAAATGGAATAAAAATGCTCTGCCTACTTTTGGGGCGCTGTCACATGATAAATGAGCCTAAAGTTTACCAAGCTAAAAAAAAAAATAAAAGAAAATTTTGCTTAGGTAAAGCAGCCGGTCGTTGTTCTTATCCATCCTACAATCCTTTGTGACTTCAGAAAGCACTCAGCAACCCAAATCATTCATCATTTATTCATTTTTGTAGGAAATGGCTACGTATACGCCATAAGGCAGCTCTAAATTTCGACATGTAAAGTTTTAGCAGGTCCAAGTTGTGCTTTAGTTGTGTCTTTTTAATCACAGCCAACACTAATTAGCTTAAGTGCTGGCTATAAACATGAGCAAATTTGCTGTGTAATAAATTAACAGCCAAAAACTTTATTGAAGTGGCCAAAACTGTGTGCTCTTCAATTACTCCATTTGAAATTGCTCGACAAAACAAAATTCAAATCGACACTTAAATTATGCGGCTAAAGTTTTCGCAATGCAATTCCCAGCTAACACTTCATCAACTGTAGTAAAATCGCAGACATTCCTTGTAGCAAAATCTGTCCATTAAAACAACAATGCCGAAACTCTTTCACACCCCCCACACTTTTTCATCCTCTACAAGCGGCTTAAGTTTGCAACTGCAAATTGTTTGTCCTGTTGTTGAGTGGAGATTTGTTGCAAATTCTCGTTTGCTTTTCCCAGCAGTTGCATTGAAAGACTTTAAAGTTCGAACAATAAAAACTGTGACCAAAATGTAAGTTGCGGAAACTTGTTAAAGTGTATTAAAGTAATCAAGAAAATCATTGAACATTTTTTTAAAATAGAAATCATTTTCAGTGGATCAGTAAATGTTTCGAAATAATATTTGTTGCTCAAGTTCAGTTCTTAAGACTGACTGACTAAAAGCTGTTGCTAAGAACTACACTCTACACTTTTCATTTTCCACTAATTTTAACACACATCTTAAGCATCAACTCTTAATAATATAATTTTATTCGCTCATTTCCATTTCCATTTCAACTTTACTAACTTTCTTTCTTTACTTTAAAATCATGTCGGCTGTCAAGCAATTCTTGGCTTTTGCACAAGTTTTTCTTACGCTCTGTTGACACAATCTAATTTTTTTCTTAAAAAATATATATATAAATATATATATATATATCTTTATATTTACAGCTCGCCCAACTTTTGCCCATGGAAGAAAATTTCCTTTTGCTCTTCCGCTTCGATAACCCCTTGGAATCAAGCGTCGAATTCATGAAGGTAAGTGTTTTGGGGCAAACGAAGCAGAAAACGAGGGTCAGCCACTGGCTAAAAGTAAAAGCTAAAGCTGTGCGTTGTCAGCTGTATTCCTCTTTTTCTTGCTAATTAATTTTGTCATGATGTTTCTCATCGATTAGATTTGGCGTGAATACGACACTGATAATTCTGGTTACATTGAGGCGGATGAGCTTAAGAATTTCTTGCGTGACTTGCTCAAAGAGGCCAAAAAGATCAATGATGTCTCCGAGGATAAGCTCATTGAATACACAGACACCATGGTTCGTATACTTGATATTATACTATAAATAAACTGTAGTGTTAAGACTATTAGCACCAGCAGAACAACAACAGCAAACAGCTGGCCAATCAATGTCACCCGCTTTGTTGGCCAAGTCTAGCGTAAAATATTGCAATTAATTTTTTGGCGTGACGGGCATTATATGAGATTTTCACCACAATTTATATGCAGTCAAAGTTCTTGTTAATTAAAAACTTTATAATGGAAAAGCGACCAAGCACTTGAGGGTATGTGGTTGTGTGTGTGTGTGTAAAAGTCTGCTTTATTGTGCTACACATTTTGTTGTGCCTTGCAACTCTTTTGGTACCCATCTCCTTCCTTGGCGTCTGTCTGGTTAGTGGCTCCGTGCCCTTCAATGTTCCTTTCTATCTACACACATTATTTTTGGGCGCACGTATCACCAGAAATGATGATAAAAAATTGTGCTTGATGACAAAACTCGCAACTCATTTGCAAGTTAAATTACCAGCAACAAAAGAAAGTTGTCAAAGATTAAATGCATTTGTAAAACTCTCCAACAAATTGCTGCCATAAAGTATAGCTTGACTTGATATGCTCAGCAATCAGATACCTTCAAAAAATATAAAAACTTTCTCATGCGCATAAACTCAAATGAATTAAATTAATTGCTTCACAGATTTTTTAAGATTCAAGTTGTATAAGTCAAGTGGCTTACAGAAGTTTTAGAGCCGTTTTCTTGTATTGCTGTGAAACAATAAAATACCAAAAGTAACATTTTTCTCCATTACTGATTATAAAAAAACCTGATAAGTGCCTCACTCACAACTAAAAGAAGTATCAATAATAAAAGCATATTTATGAATTCCAAGGAACTAATAAAAAATGTTTTTGTACCTAACTGTTAAGAACTATCTTTTACTTAAGGCTAAAACAAAAAGTCATGACAAAAAGCATTTTGGGAACTTGGTTAAGTTGATGTGGATGTGTGTGTGTATTTATTATTGGAGTTGCACTCAAGAGTCTCAAGAGACAGGCAGACAGAGCAATTTATGTATCATTAATTAAGTATGAAAGTTCTGTCATTGAGCTCATTAAGTTTTCTCTTTCTGTACACCCAAAACACAGCTACAAGTTTTCGATGCCAATAAGGATGGTCGTTTGCAGCTCTCGGAAATGGCCAAGTAAGTAGACCCAATATCAATGTTGTTGTCGCTCTTTTTGTTTTTCCGCCTTGTTACAAAACAAACAGAAACGAACCGAAAACTTATTTATTACAGACTACTTCCGGTTAAAGAGAATTTCCTTTGCCGTCAGGTATTCAAGGTAAGTGCTTAAATGCTTTTATGACCACTACAAGGAAATTACGATCGAAATGATAGTTAAGCAAAACTACCACAGAACTGGCATACAATATAAATATATATATATCTATATATAACTGGTTTGAGCCCGTCTAACACGTAACTAGCACATAGGTTTAGCTTTTAGCTTTAGTTTTTAGCTAGCTGCCGCAGCAATCAGTCCTCTAGTTCTGCAAGTGCTTATTTTATTTTCCTAATTTATTTGAATCTTTGTTTCTTATTACGTCTCTGTCTGCTCAAATAGATTTCAGCAATCTAGAATCGAGTTATCAAATTCGCAGTGCGCAGCAAGAAAACAAAAAAAGCCAGCGAAAAACGCGTCGTATGCGTGATAAAAAAAAAATAATAAAACCTCCCACACATGAAATAGAATGAAACACCTGCTGTTTGGATTGTCCCAAATCAATTTCAGCTCAACCGAACGCCTCATCCCAACACCAAAACGCCTCATCCTACAGCAAAAAAATTTAACCTGCGTCAGCTGCTTTTGTGCTACCTTTTGTGCCCGGCAATAAAAGACCAAAAGTTTTCTGATTTTGCAAGCAGATACAAAACAAAACAAAAGGCAAACGAATCGCTTTATTCTCTGATTATAAATACAAGCAAAAACTGTGCTCTCTGCTCTATCTCGCAGAACACACACTTTTGACTTTGTAATTAGACACGGCACACACCTTTGCCACACACACACACACACACAGACAATAACTATACAACAACAGCTGGCAACTGTTTTGTGACACTAAGTGATGATGCTACTCGTCTTACCTTTTGGGAGTTTTTTTTCTACATTGCAAGAATTTATTTTGACATTTATTATTTAAGCAGCAGCTGGCTGCTCAAAATGTGCCCATTGGGGGTTAAATGGAGCGCGCAACTCAGCGCAGCTTCCATGCACTCCATTCCACTTCCCCTGGCATTGGATTGGGCATTACGTAATTGGTCACCGGGCTACACGCAGACCAAATCCAAGGAGCTTGGCAATAACTTGGCCATTGCTGCCAAAATATACGACGACTGCTCAAACTTTGACTGCAACATTTTTTGGCCGAAATGTCCGTGGCTTTTAGCAAGCTCAGCAGCATTGTGTGTTGCAGAACAAAAGGCCCAACCCATAAGGGTTAGCCAAGAAACGAAGAATTACCAGAAATGAAGAAATATGTGTGAATTCACATGGTTATAATAACGCTTAATATTACTATTTAATAATAAGTATTATTTAATTTCAATTCTCTCTTTTTGTATTTCTGCAATTACTTGATAATTTGGATTTAACTATCACACTTTCATTTGCACTTCTGCAATTACTTGAGTAGTTAATAAATTTGTTGCTATTATTATTTATTTACTTATGTAATTATTTGAATTACTAAAGTATTTATTATGTTGATTGTAAGTTTTTCGCAGCTACAAAACTTTTCTAATAAGTTTGCCCTTGTGTACGTTAATTACTCATTTAATTATTGGAATTACTAGAGTATCTATGATGTTGATTGAGTGCCTTTCAGCGGCTTCAACATATTTTTACTTGTCTCTTCCATTACTTGGAGCAACTTGGAGCAATTAATTCGCCTGGCCAACCCTAACACATATCCACTGAGAGACTGCTTGTGTGTGCATTTGTGGCTGCCTCGCAGGATTATTTGCGCAAACTCTTTTCCATTTATTTTTGGCGCATGTACGCGGAGGCAAGCAGGCAGTTGTCCATGACCAGATGAATGTGTATAAATGCGAAATTTTTCGGCAGTGTTTTCCGTTTTGCTATTGCTGGCAATCAACTGACTTCGACATACGAAACGAAGCGTTGCGAAAGGAAACCAAACGACTTGTGCCAGATTGCTAGAACCAATTTTTGTAATCTGCTGCAAGTGTACGTGCTTCAGCCAGATTCGTGCTACTTAAATAGCCCATATACAGATATGTGTTTTGCAGACTAAAAACTTCAAGATGGTGCATAAGGTTATGCAATTTTTAATTAGCTTCCAACACAACCGCAAACAAGTTTCCCAAAGATGGCTGCCTGTCATAGCAGATGTTTCAAATGTTCCTTGTACATAGTTAGCGGTAAAAAAAAAAACAAAACACTGGTAGCAATTGCCAAGATTTCGAGGCAGAAACTGTTCAACTGTGCAGCATGGCGTATGATTAATGTTCAGTGAAGTTGCAACCACAGCCACAGCAGTCGCTGTCGAAATTTACAGTTTGCCGCCACGAAGTCATGTCAACCAACCATTTCCCGATTGTTGCAGTTGGCAGCACAGCGACATTTTATTTGACTGTTATTGGCATTCGCCGCGCTCCACACAAGTCGCCAATTCACACACATTGTAAACCCAAAATGCATAACAAGTTGAAGTCGAGTCACTGAAAATCAAACAAGCATTCTACACATGAATCTTATGTGAAGTTTGGTTCGGTAACTTTTAACTTTTTTAACTCGATTACAGAGCGCTTGATTTTTGTTTTCAACTCCTTAGCCGAACCCTAAGCCATCTTGATTTACTCAATTGTATGAGAATTGAATTTTTATTCCTGAAACTTTTGCTTGGTTATCCTTCGCTTGGCTTCAAACATAACTCAGTGTTTGCTCTCTGTTACTCGTTATCGGGCTTTCATACTTAATTTGAGATATATTTATTGTTTTCTCAATCTTAATAACATCGAAATCAATATCATTATTAAAAGAGTTTTAATACTTCTTTCAAGAAAAAGTTTACGAACTACGAACGGCGATAAAAATTGTGCTCATAAAAAATTATTCATGCTTTCTAATTCCTTCCACTGCACATGCCCCATGGGGGCACATACCCAGCGTCAACTTCGTATCTTTCTCACTCATCTCTATTTTTACGCTGCATCAGCATCCAATTATAATGCACATCCATCTCTGACCTGATGAAGCAGCCGTTAAAGTCATAACTCAGGACCTGCTTTAAAGTGCCTTATGCAACAGTTGCGATAAGGCACTGTCCACCTGGACAGTCGTCGTCACATTGTTGCAGCCACGTCGAGGGTGCAATAAAAAGGTACAAGCTTAAGCAGCCATCAAATTGCCATTTCCAGCCCATTTGGCCATCACATAATACGCGTCCCGAGCAGTGGAGAGAGTAATGCGTGCTCATATTTCGTTGGCAATAAAAGTAAAAAATAAAAAACAAAAACAAAAATAAAAAAAAGAAGCATGCATCAACATTTTTACAGCCCCCTAAGTGGCAGACTGCTGCTGCCCAGAGACTTATAAGTTATAAGCATGCAGTCTGCAGTTAACCGGTGGCAAATAGCATGCAGCTGGTATACACTAGCAGGTGCGAAGTGGCAGCTACCGAGTAATTGCCAGGCTCAATTACACAGCACAACAAAAGGCAGCAGAGCATACAAATTTCTATGCATCAAATATGAAGCACAAGTGTAAAATTGCATAGTAATAATTTAACTAAAAGTGCACAGAATGGCAGAAGCCATTAAAGTCGCTTGGGAGAAGGTTTAGATTTTAGCAGATGATGTGGTTTTTGTGCCATAACAGAATATTTAATAATATGTTTGTAGCTGCACTGAATGACAGCATTTATTAAATTATTAGCTGATATGTGATACTGAGATAAGATAATATTCAATGTTCCAAATTTCAAATAAATTGCATAAGCTTAAAGGTCTTACACAGTTCCACATATTTCATGCTACCAATTTGCACTTAATCTGAGTAAATGCTTTTGCCATCATATTTAAAGTAAATTGGTGTTGGATAGTGTTGGAACCAAGGCCCGCTTTGGCATAATGCCTGAAATGTCGGAATGGCTTATGCTAATGCACATCACGTATACGAAGCGTGTGTCGCAAGAACTGCGGATGCAGCGACTGCAATCTGCTTTAAAATTGCCATTTTGGGCTTGCGGATAAACTTTCGGAGGTTAAATGTGGCTTCCAACAAAAAAATGTGCTGTAATTGTGTTTTGGGTGGTGCAGTGTGGTGCAGGTTGATGTTTTTGCCTTACAGTTTCGTGGCCTGTCCGTTTTCACTTAACTTTTCCGTGTGCCGTTGTCGAAACCACTTAGGTGCTTATTTTTGTTTTGCGCCACTCTGGCATTGTCTCTGCAGATCTTTATTCCTGCATTATAATGCAGGCAGCTTACTTTAAAATGTGGCCACAATGCTATGAGCACGTAGCCACTGCAACCACCAGGGCTGACACCGAAAATTTGCGATTGTTCGTTTCCAGAAAATTCATTTTGTTTTCCATTTTTTTGTTGATTTTGTTTTTATTCTTATTATTTTATTAGCTGCGGCAAATTTAAAGAGGCAACTAAAAACCATGAAACTTTAAATCGTCTTGGCTTATGGTTAGCTTTTGTTTACTAGATACGTGTACTTAATATTTAAAACATTTTCGGTTTGCTGCATTTTTAGCTGGATCTTTAGTGTACTAACCTAAAACTAACTTTAGTCTAAGACTAAGGCTGGCAAATAATTTTAATTTAATTTGAAATAAATTCACAATTAATTATTTGCCACTTGTAAGCAAAATACTAATTAGCTAAACTAATTTTTTACTTTACAATCTTATCAAACTTTTTCTGAATTTCTTTTTTTCCATTTCCCCGCCTAACCCTTTCTTGCAACTCTACTTATATGCCTAAATCAACTGCAACTATCTAATAAACTAAAAAAAAAACAACTGTATTTATATACCTTATGCATATACATATATTTCTCTACAATGACAAACCAACAATCAACACTTGTACATTTTATTGCATTTCCAAAAACTAAAAATCAAAATTCAATAAAAATATACTTTTCAAATAAAATTCAAACTAAACAAATATTCAACAAATACTCTGCACGTGATGAATATTTTTGGCTGCCCACAAACGTTTTTTACACTTTTCGCAATAATATAACAAAAATAAAACTAAAATCAAAAATAAAACAAACAACAAAATCGATTCAAAACTCGACCCTAAAATTGCTGTAAAACTAAATGAAATTCATTTCAATAATTAACGATATGCTGTATATAAAATCGACAACAACTACAACTACAACAACAACAATTGCACTGCCTACAACAACAATAACAACAACTAAACAACAACAAACACACGAACTACTTGCAATACTCATATTCCAGGAGGGCATTGATGTAAGTATTTTCCATTCAAGCCGAACCAAAACTAAACGTTGTTACTCAAACAAATGGAATACATAATACAATACAACAAAATCGCGACCACAATGTAAATATGATAGGACATATACAGCTTTGGCTTAACCGAAGACTGAATACCCTTGCAAATATACGAGTAAGAATATTAGTTATGCATCATTTTTCAGCAGGCAATCTACCACAAAAACTACATATAAATAAATAAATCACATCAACAACCGAAATTCAAATTTATTTTAAAAAACCAGTTACTCCTCTAACGATATTTTTAGTCCTTAGCCAATTCTTTATGCTACAATTCACAATACGATTCGGTTACCTGTCGAGCAATCATTTCTATTTTATTAAATCTTCCTGCAATTATAAAGTGTATTTAATCAATTAATCTCTAGTCGAACTTTGTTACTTTGTTAAATTGAGAACTGTTCTTGTGCAGCAATGCAAATAAAAGTTATTGACAATAAAATATGCTCACCGCAAGGGTATTCAAAATAAAAAATAAATAAAAACAATACACGATTTTATACACTTATTTGTTTAGTCACCGACAAAACAAAACGAATTTGCATTTCCAATGACTCCGCTCCTCCGCCTCGCTTCGCCCCTTTTGCAGCCACCGAACAGCTTTCAGTTCAACGGCAAAAAATATTTTGTTATTTTAAATGCTTTGTTCAACTGCAAACGAATGAAATTCTATTGACTTTAGCATATCTCTATTTGGCTACGTTTATTTTAATTTCTGACTGACTTATCCCATTGTGCGTTAAACCTATACAAAAATGTAAGCCTTTAAATCTCTGCCTGCATTTCTACAGCTTACTATGTAGATACATAGATACAAAATATCCTATTTAGAAATGTATCTACATATGGCGTTCCCAAGTGCATGCTGTGGAATGCTGTGTGTTTGCTTTGTTTTGTTCGAATGCCCTTTTTATTGATTTTTTGGCATGTTTAGCAAATAAGCTAGTTAACCAAATAGTGTGTGTGGTGTGTGTGTGTGAAAAACTCAGATTGTGGCCTGTTAGACAGCTGAAAGCGTATGAATTACTTCAATATATAATATAGGAACATATAAATTACAGCATTTGTTTTAGGACTGCGCTTTAAATATGCAAAAACGTTGCTAAAAAATCTTAAATCAATGAAATCATTTAGTCATTGAAGAGTATATCAATACAAAAGGTTAACTTTACTTAAAGCTTAAAGCTAAATAGTCAAATAGCAAATGGTTTAAACTAGTGTGGTAAACATAACTAAAGTGATATATGACAACTAAATCTTAATGACCAATCCAATAAGTAAACGACAAGTATGTGCGACTAATTAGATATTTGCTCCCTGTGCACACACACATGCATAAAATACACACACACTCTATATATGTCTATCTTAGATGGGTGATAAGTGCATGTACGTGCGCTGCTTAAATCTAATGAAGGTCCAGATACGACCCTGGGATAGGGCGACCCTTTGCATAATTTACACACATGTATGCGCGGGTGTGTGTGGGAAGGAACTTGGACGCCCTTTTGCCTATGGCCCATATGGATAATGGCAGCCGCAGACATCCGCCGCCGTAACACCGAAAATGCTTTTCAAAAAGTGTTGAAGTATAAAATAATTACTTCATTTTATCAACGTTGCTGGGATGCTGGGATACTGAAAGTTGGATGCTGGGATGTTGAATGTTTCGGTAAAACGTGACGCCCCAAATTCGGTTGGCTTAAGTGCGCAATTTGTCAGAGCACGCTGACAAAATGTAAAGCATTGCTCACATAAATTCCATATAATACGCTGTGAAAGTGTTGTGCAGCAAATTAAACACTGAGGCTCACACATAAAGCCCATCTTTCAAGTTCACCTCTTTCTACATCTTTTTTTTCTGAAGCCCACAGAACAATGCGTTGAAAGGGCTGTAAGTGCGGACACTTAATGGATTTTCAATCCCCAAAACGCAAACAAAACAAACTAACAAAAAAAGACGTGGATTGAAATGTTTTAGTTGAGTGTGTGTTCAACGGAGAAATATCCTGTAACAAATAAGAGAGAGTACAAAGATTTTACGATGTGAATCCGATAAATATGAAATATTGTGCATAAGTAATTTAGCTAGTTTCTAAAAAAAGCATTCAATAATTATTAAAAAAATAGATATACGAAAATTTAACTTGTGCCAATTTAATTGCATCCCATCTTTGTACACTTTTGAGCACAGGGTATTTGTGAAAGCGAAGAAATTGCGTTTCGTCGTACGTTTCGAGTTTAAAGCAGCTTACAAGTCTAAATAAAATAAATGTTATCAGTCCTTGGGGACAATAACGACACACAGACACAGAAATACACACAATCACATTACAAATTGTTAACTAGCTAAAAAGTTAAGTCGTTTCCATTTTGGTTACTGGTAACCGGATTGCACCTGCAGCGGCTTTAAACTTGAATGACTTCATGCAACTCGCATCCTTTGCCGCTCCTTCCTTCCTCGTCCCGTTACCATTTGCTGTGCCTGCATTTGCTCGCTTGCATAACCACAAGCAGCCAAAACAAGGTGCAGCCATGTTGGTGCCAGCAAAGGAAGTGGAATCAATAAATCTAACTGGCGCTTATAGCATACAACACGTGCACACAGCTATATATATATATATATATATATATATATACATTTCTATATATGTATATGAAAGCTGGAAATGTTTGTGCTGAAATGTCTGCTACATTAATTCAGCCAGTAATGCGAATGTGAGAGAACAAAATGCCACAGAAAATTTCGCAATTTACCTTAATGCATATTAATTACCAAATGTCAAGCGCACAAAACCAAATTGCTTAAATGCTTCAATTTGTTGGGGGGAGTTACACAAAAGAGGCAGGAGGATTATGGATGTTGTTAGCAAGGGCTGGGCATTGGAGTACAAGACAAAGCAGCTTAATTAAGTCATTCGTTATAATTCGCTTAAGTATGCAATTTCTGGCGATACAAACCCTCTCTAAGCATTCGTATTCGGGTATTCGAGTCTTGGGCTTCATTTTGCCTTGCCCATCTCAAATAAATCTCATTATGCAAAGTCTGATTTGCATACAAAGTTAAGAATATGAAATAATGTGTCCAGTATTTATGTGATTTTTTTTAGAAATAATTGAAATTGACCCAACTCTAATTTACATGAAAAACTTAAGCAATGCAGCTGCTGAAGCCTTCACGGCTTTTCATTTATGCCTTTTTGGGGGTTTTCTATGCTTTCGCTTACAGATTTTGGATTACGGATTGAGCAAATAATTGTACATAAATTGACTATAATGTAAATGAAGGGATTGGATTGGAGAGGTTGTTTCAAATGCAAACATGAACGAAATATGTAAATGAAAATTGATATGCATGCAGGCAAGTGTGTATCTTATCAGTGTGTGTGCGTGTGTGTGTGTGTGTGTGTGTGTGTGTGTGTGTGTGTGTGTGTGTGTGTGTGTGTGTGTGTGTGTGTGTGTGTGTGTGTGTGTGTGTGTGTGTGTGTGTGTGTGTGAGTGTATGAGTGTGTATGTGTGTACATGGCTTAAATTTCCACAGGCAAACACTGGCCCGAGAGCATGGAATGCATAATAAAAGCAAATTGAAAGCAAAATAATAATATATTTTTTGTTGGCATGAAATGCAAATATTAATATGATATTAGTGTGCACACATAACACATATATATATATATATATACAGCCGCATATGACAAACCCAAAAATACAAACACACATAACCCACGTAGTCTTGACAAGAAAAAATAACCTCAAAAAAAAGAAAGCCTCCCTCAAATGCCAGTTGACATTATAACGTTCACAATAGACTGAAGAGTGTACCCAAAATATGATTGAAAACAACTATTTAAATGTCGCATTTGTATGCTTTATTCTATTTCTATTGCTTAACTAACTTAGGGTGCTACCAAGCTGACCAAGGATGACATTGAGAAAGTTTTCTCGCTATACGATCGAGTAAGATTTTGCTATCACATAAATATCATATCAATGATTATTATATATAATATAATTAATTGCTGTTATAATAGGACAACAGCGGCACCATTGAGAATGAAGAACTTAAGGGCTTCCTCAAGGATCTGCTGGAACTGGTAAAGAAGGTAAGTATTAGCTGATATATTTCCCAGATATCTGCTAAAAGCTGCTTGTCTGCTTAGGACGACTATGATGCCCAGGATCTGGCTGCTTTCGAGGAGACAATCATGCGCGGCGTTGGACGTGATAAACATGGCAAAATCTCGCGCAAAGAGCTGACAATGATCCTGTTGACTCTGGCCAAAATATCGCCAGAGGATGAACAGTAAATTGTTGTTGTTGGCCCAACATATAAAGCTAAAGATTCCAAAGTCACAACAAGCAGACACACATATATTTTTGTTACCAATTTGGGTAAAATAATGCAAATGCGGCGAGTTGTTCTTTGGCCAGAAGCCAAAATTGATTACTTTAAAACAAAACAAAACAAAAAAACTATAAACTAACCGCCCGCAACAAGGAACAGCTCGAGGACATAACCTCCAAAAGCAGGGCGAGTCCTCAAAACAAAGCAAAATAAATTATTGATAGAGAGTAAAAATTTGTCGAAAATAAAATAAAAACAAAAAATAAAAGCTATTTAAAAGTCAATGTTTCAAATTAATTAAATGTTTATGCATGTTAAGCTTTTGAAAGTCTATTTCCTAAAACGAACAGCTACCAAGAAAGCAACAAAGAACAAAGTATTCGTAAAACAAAACAAAAAACATAAAAAAACTTAAAAAGAAAACTTACGAAATATAATAAATACTTTTTGACAATGCAACTCGAAACCAGCCATAAAATATATAATACTAACAACAGTACATCGATTTTAAATTCAGTGTTGTCTGAGATGAAAATTTTGGTATATACATTTAATACTCGTAACGATTATATTTTCTATTTCAAATGTATTGCATATTCATTTATATATATTTATATATATACATAAAACGAACAAAAATGAATAACTAATTTAATTTTTGACTTAATTAAAACTTAGCTAAGTGTAAGAGCAGACACTCAACAATTTATTGCAAACACAAACGAAAACAAATACAAATAATAAAAATGGAAATTAAATTATTCGATATGTATGTATTATTATTATGTAGCGCGAATTTTTTAGATAATTGTTGTTAATATTTGTGTGTACTTATAATAATTATTATATTATATAAATGTATGTTTAACGAATATATATACATATATGTATATGTATATATTTTGATGCGTGTGATTTTTCTGCTTAGTTTTTGGAGAATTTAACTTAATTTTTGAGTGTACAACTATAAAGAAGAAATAGAACAATTTCAAAAATACAAAATTGCCCACACACGATTACCAAACACAAGAGATGTCATCAAACATTTTAACTTGGTAATTTTTTAGTGCATAAGTTTTACCAAAAAAAAAAAAAAACAGGAAATAGGCGCCCAGCCAGCTAATATCAATCAAGGCCCCCTTGCCGTCAAGCAGCCAATTGGCACTCGAACACGGCGCCCCAGGCAGGTAATACACAAAAAAAAGAAGGAAACACATCCAAAAGAGAGAAAGAAAGAAGGAAAAATAGAAAACTAAAAAATCTACTTACAGGCTGTCAAGTGACCTCCTCCCAGACCTGTCCCCATAGCGTGATTTGAACACATGTCGCAATTGTGCTCGTCCTCGTTCCTGTCATTGATTTGAAATGGCAGCGGAGGCGGGTGCGAGGGGTCGGTGGATATTTTAAGGAGGGGCTTGGATACTGCAAGAAAAAAGAAGAAGCATAGAAAACATTACGAACCTGATACTTTTACCTTTGTGCAATGCCGTTAATTGTTTCAAATCTATGTTCAAATCTACATCGCTATACATTCTAAAAAAAAAAAAATGAAATAAATAAAAAACTCTTTAAGCGTTTAGCAGCTGCTTTAACATTGTTTAAAACTCCTCAAGGTGCTATCTCTATTATGAATACTTGAAAAACCAACTATTGGTATATTAGCTATTTTTCGACTTTCAACTTATTTGCCCGACCCTAAAACCATAGCCAAAAATCATATCTGCACAGCTTTAGCAAACTCTGCAAGAAAAATAGCAAATTTCGTATGTAAATCTATTAATGAAAATACTCCCAAAAATAGAGAACTGTACGATGCAACAAAATGCCAAGTAAATGAAAACAAACAAAAGATAAAACGTGAAAAATGTCGTATATACTTATAAATATATAATATATATATTATATCTTACTTATGCTATGTTTAAGATGATAAATAATTACAAATTATCAGATGAGACACGTTCAACAGAAATGCATGTAAAGCTTCAAGGACTTTCAATATAAAACAACAAGAACAACAAAAATTAAACATACTCAAAATCCAAATACATATTTAACTATAACTATAACTACAACTAACTATATACAAACATATATATACATATATATAAAACAACTACATGCATACTATATATATGTCAAGCAAAAATTCTATGAAATGAAAATGTGTGTTTTAATAAACTATCGATAGATCACATCTCAAGACACGAACAAAAAATACTACGTATTCAAATAATTGCATCTTTGACTTTGGTTCTGTTTCTCCAGCAAGGAATTCAGCTGCTTTAAACATGCATTGAGTTCAAGGATATTGGCATTCATATCACACATCGCCTTGTTATTATCAATCTTGGACTCAGATTTCGACTGTGACTTCGATTTGGAGTGCATCTTTTTCACCGGATGTTGCTTCTCTTCCGCCTGGGGCTCTGCGCTTTTCATTAACTCATTTAAAATGTCCATTTTCTCCTTAATCTGTACACAGTAACTGTTTGGAATATAAAGGTTTGTGTGCTTCATAAGTAGAGCAATTTAAAGTGAATAGCATTTCATAATAATTATTAATAATGGGAATATGTTACAGTGGAGCTATTATATTGTAAAGCATTTACACCTACCATTTTGGTAACTCTTCCAATTCACTGACATTGAATTGCCGCCACTTGCAACTTTGCAGATGCCACTCTAAGTTCAAAACCACCAGCTGCTCCACAGGATGCACGAATATTGTGGCACGCTGTGACAATACAACTGGCAACTCAACCAGCGCCCAAGTGTATATCAGCTTTGGCTGCTGCTGCTCTTGCTGCTGCTCCAATTCGAACTCATGTCCCAAGTATTTCTCAACTTGCAGCCTTGCAAGTAATTCGCGCATTGAAGGCGTCCGCCTGAGACTGCCATGTCTTCCAAAGTGGCGTTGAAGAAAACCTCTCGCCTGGCCGTCACGGTTACCGCAGGAACGATATCCTGCTGCACCCATATTGCGAAAAACAAATCCCAACGGATTGTTCATTATGAAACGCGTCGAATTATCGTCATACGTGATGTGCGTCTGACTGTGAGGAATACTTGGTGAAATTAGCTACAAGGTTACGATTATCAATCCTCAGATAATTGTTTAGTCAGAAAGAGCCGCCCCTGGATAATTCTCAGTTAAAATAATCTCAATGTGAACCTTAGTTTCATCTCAACTCCCCCCGTTCAACTTACCTCTTATCAATGTTAACATTTAATTTAGTAATGCGACCGCAAGACATTTTGGCTTGCAACAAGAATTTTTATAACTCTCTCAAATCAAGCAATAAATTTTACAAAACAAATACAAACTAGCTTTTTTTTTAGAAAACTTGTAGTGACTTCGCCGCCTACTATAAACAGAAATTTGTAGAAAAACCAAATTTTGCTGTTGATCATTGATGGTAAACAGCCTCCACATCCAAACGCTGTTGATAGGCCAAACGTTGGAGGATCGTTGGATGCGTATGATGCCAGCTGGCATACCAGTTATCGTAGACGGGAAAACTCATGTGATCCGCATAGATCTTGACGAGAGCCGATCTCAAGAGTAGGGAGTAACCCAGGCGATGAGCAAACCGATCCGCAGCATATTCAAAACGTCTCAAGTTCCACAACATTAGAAAATTGGCCAGTGTTAGATACGGTGTCATGGCAAATCGCAGCACAACAATGAAACCGACAATAATCGGGCACAATCCAGATGCAAATCCGACCGCTTCGTACAGCTGCGGACAGTGAAATAATAGTCCGAAGATCACCGTGGTTAATAGAAAATGTAATTTCATTATTAACGTAGCCTTGTAGAAATGGCCATATTTCCAGTGTCCCAACTCGTGGGCAACCACAGCCACCACCTGTGGATTGGTTAGGCCACGTCCCACCTCAAACGGGTGAATCTCATTCGGCTGCAATCCCTTATTCAACAGCAGCGTATCAAATATCACAATCCGTTTCAGACAGCAGCTGCCATAGAAATACGCATTGCTATATTGCATCGATCTCGTCCGGATAATGAACACTCTCGTCATAGGGAATTTGGTTGCATCACAGACCCGCTTCACGTCGGCGTACAGAGGAGATCCCTCCGACAGTTTCCGCTGCCGGCCAATACAGGGTATACACAAATAGGGCAAGAAAAATACCAAAAATAGCGTGAACAACGCCCACATCAGCCAGAAATATAAAAAGAAAAAGTATCCCAAATTCTGTACACTGAAAATAATTAGGAATGTGAGTGGTGCGAGGATAATCTGTGAGAGGACAATCGCCAGAACGCCCATGCAGCAATATAGATAACAGGGGAATCGATGCTGGGTGCCATAGCGCAACTCCAATATACACTTGTCGTACAGCAGAGTTGGTAGACAACGCAGCGTTATGTAGACGGTCAGATAGAAGACGAACAGCAAACTGATCCAGATCTCGTTCGTTGTCAGACTGGCCAGTGACATGCTGGCCAAACTCCACAGGAATGGATAGAAACCGAAATACAGCTCCAACAAACTGATTATCAAATCTATGCCATGCTTCCAAATAAATAGCTCCATTTTATGTAGCTCATAGATCCGCGCCCGGTGAAAGATCTCTGGCGGCACAATGGCACGCAGCTCCTCTGGCACCGCTATCGCCGCCAGGCATGTCAGTTGCTACTAGACAAAAAATCACAGGAGGAACAGTTTTTAGTATCACCAAAAATTGCGGATTTTTAAAGAATTTGAAGAAAAATCTTCTCTTATATTTAAAAATTATTTCTGAGTGCAATCATAACTTGGTCAAAACTGAATAAATGTTCAGAAAACCCTAAGCATTCTAAGGGTTTTCCGCAGTCGACTTGAAAATATTCGCTGCTCACCTGTCTTTTGGCCAATATGATTTCCCATGTGTGATCGAGGACCAACACCAGCATCAGTATGTAGAGCAGATGGCGCGGATCTAGCTTCGGCCAGGTGTCGTAGAATACCATCGCTCACGTTAAGAGCATGTTCTTTTTGCCCAGACCAGAAGAACAACAACAATATACAAATAAATATGTTTATGGAATAGTCTATCGACAGTATTTCGAGTTGTTGACATGTGTATCCCGAAGCTACTCTGATTACGAATTGAGCTCGTCAAGCTTCTCCAATCGCGCCAAGCGATGCAGTACTGTCGGATGCGTATGATGCCAACTGGAATAGCATTCGTCCGATATGGGAAACGATAGATTATCCGCATATAGCTTGAGCAGAGCTATTCTCAAATTGTGAGCATAGCCCAGCTGAAAAGCAAACTTATCCGCCTGATATTCAAATTGCCGCGTCACGCTCAACATAATCACATTGGAGATGGCAAAATATGGCGTCAACACATATCCAAAGATGATAATGAATCCCACAACAATTGGCTGCACGCCCATCTCAAAACCAATGGCCTGATATATCGGACCATGGGGAAAGCATAGGGAGAAGAGGAAAAGCGTTAGGAACATATTTATCTGGAACATGCCCATTGCCTTGTAGAAATGTCCATGCTTCCAGTGGCCCAGTTCGTGGGCAACCACTGCCACCACCTGTGCATCGCGCAGACCCTTGCCCAGGTCAACCTTCTGCTCCGCCAGCTGGGCGGCATCATGCAATCCCCGGTTCAAGAGCAACGTATCAAAGATCACAATCCGTTTTAAACAGCAGGCGCCATAGAAAAAGGCATTGCTTCCCATGTTTGGATCGCGAACACGTATAATGTGCACCTGTCGCATTGGGAAGTCAGTTCGGAGCGTCAGCTCTTCCAGACTGGCCAGCAATGTGGGATTCTCGATCGGCACACGTTTGCCAATAATGGGATCGATGACAAAGGGCAAGAGCACAATAGCTAAACTAGTCAGCAAAAGAGCGGTTAGGTACAATCCCAGAAAGAAGTATTGGCCAAGATAGGTGACCAGCGCCACCACAACCGTAACTATGACCACCATCAGCAGCAGCGATAATACAGTATCAAGAATCTCGCTGAGAATGCGACGCAATAAACTCTGCTTTGGGTGGTTAACCAAACTGGGGATGCAGCACTTCTCGTAGATGTGACCCGGCAGAGATTTGAGCGTTACATAAATGCTGAGCAGGATGACAAAGATGATGGAGAGACAGATCTCGTGCTCCATCCACTGCCAGATGGCACAGTGGCCAGCCAGATTCCAGACGAACGGAAAGAAGCCAAAATATAATTCCAAACAGCCACAGATGACCACCACCCCGAACGTATTGATCAGCAGGAACCAGCTCTTGTGCAACTTATAGTCGCGCATCCTATTAAATAGATCCTGTGCCAGATATGGACGCAGCACATCCGGCACTTGCTCCACCTGATAAACCAAAATGATCTGAACCGAAACGAATTTAGAAACCAAACACAGTTGGATGGGGATTATCAGATTACCTCGCGCAGCAGCAGATAAGTTGACCAGAGATTATCCACAACCAGTATGAATAGGATTACAAAGAGCAGAAGGACGGGGTCGTTCCAGAGAGTGGCCATGCTAAATTTGACATTTTAAACGAAACAAGTAAAATTTTGAAATTATAATTTTCGATCTGAATTTTATTGAAAACTAGAACACTAAACACAATGTAAACTACAATACGGAAAGTAGCTAGAAAATGCTTTGGTCTCGACATGGATGCGAGTTGCATTTACTGCAACTTCTTCTCTGACTGCGACGATTGTCCCAACTCCTTCAGCCTGGCGAGACGCTGCAGCAGCGTAGGATGTGAATGATTCCAGGTGGAGTACAACCAATCGTAGACGGGAAAACCCAAATTATCCAGATTCAATTTGATCAAAGCACGTTGCAGCTGCTCCTCAAACCCGAGCCGATGAGCAAACTCATCCGCCTGATACTCAAAGCGACGCGACAGCAAAGTCATCGCAAAAGTTATAATCGCATTGTACGGTGCCATCACATAGGTGAAAATGATCAGTAGACCCACCAGAATGGGTCGTACGCCGGGCTGGAAACCCATTGCCTCGTAGAATGGTGCATACTTGAACAGATAGCCAAAGACGAGGAACATGAGCAGCAGATGCACCTCCATAATGACAATATTCTTTGTCACATGTCCCAGTTTCCAGTGGCCCAGTTCGTGGCCCAGCACAGCAAGCACCTCGTCATCCGTGCAGCCTTTGCCCTTCTCATCGTCGCTCAACTCAGAATCATCCGGTTTGCCCTTGTTCAGGAGCAGCGTGTCGAAGAGCACAATTCTCTTCGAGTTCCATAGTCCATAGAAATAGGCATTGCTGTGGGACGAACGTTTGGAGCCCTCAACCACATACAGCTTGGTCAGCGGGAAACTCAATGTAGCCGCCAAATCCTCAATGGATTTACGCAATGGTCCCTGCTCCAGTGGGGTATACTTGTCGAATAGTGGCGCAATAAAGATGGGATAAATGGTGAGCAGCAGCAGTGAAATGATACCCGTGAAGATCCACAGCCAGATGAAGAAGTTATCGCCGCCACGTTGTACAATGAAGATAATCGCTGCCGTTATGGGCAGCATAACCACTTGCATGACCAGGAAACCCTTCAGCTGATCCCAGGCAAAGAATCCGGCCGTCTGCTTATTGAATCCATGCTTCTCCTCCAGCACAAAGATCTTGTAGATCTTAAACGGTAGCGATTTAAAGGTTGACAACACATTCGAAATGAGCACAAAGACACAGGTGACAAGGATCTCATTGCTGACATCCCAATCCAATTGACGGACCACATCCTGCGACAGTTGCCAAATCAACGCAATCAAACCAATATAGAGTTCCACACACAACAAGACCACATCCATAAGCACCGCCTTGAAGATGCCAAAGCTCTCCTGATCCAGATTATATTTGCGCGCCTTGTGGAACGTCTCTTCGCTCATATGATCCGTTAGTTCGCCGGGAACAGTCAACGCCGTCCTATAGACTTTCACCTGCGGACGTAGTAAATTCAATTAAATGGCTGCTAAATTAATATCAATTAATGCTGTGGCAGCAATCAACGAACCCAGTTGACATTTTGCGTGCTACTTACAGAAATATATCGTACGCATATATATATACTATATACTCATATCTATATATACATATATAGATATCGCAAAAAAGTACACCCGTAAGTTGAATTGTCGCCTTTTAGCAACCGGCACGTGCCGGCTTTAATTGCCCTACTATTGACTCACCTGGCGCAGTGCTATATAGATTTCCAGCGCATTCTCGACAATAACTAATCCCAGTATGCTGTAGAGCACGGTGTTCGCATCTAGTGTCGACATATTGTACCCTAAATTTTGCTAGACAGCACGACGCACACACTTTTTAACACAACGCCGCAGTCGACGGCTTGCACGTAAAGGTTTTTTGTAGTGTTGTTAAGCGTCGCAACTATCGCATATCGATTAAACAAACCAGTAAAAGCATCGATTGCTGCGCGCAAACGCCGCTTTCGATTTGAATTGATACCCTTTTGAGAGAGTTGTTTGACTTTGTTATGAAATGATATAAACAAGACTATATATATGTATACATAATATGATATTATATTTTTATATTTGATCAATTTCTTGTTTGAAATTTGTAAATTTATTTTAACTAATTTGAGGGTAAAAACAATTAAACAATTAAAGACTAGCGTATTTGCACATTAAAACTTTCCACGCTGGCGTCGGCAATGTGCTTGTGTATTTCATTGACCTCCGCCTGGGTCAAAGTGCGCTCCATATGCCGATAGACGATGCGGAAACAGACGCTCGATTTTCCCGTCTTCGGATGTTTGAATTTGTCCACCAAGCTGATCTAAAAAGTGCAAGAGAATCCGATCAGAATATGAAATTAAACTATACACAAAAAGTGGACGCACCTGCTCCACAACATCGCCAGCCACCGAGCGCACCAGATCATAGAAATCATTGGGTGAGAAGCCGGCATTCACTTCCACATTGGATGGCAGCCAAAAGGACAAATCATTGGTGCATTGTGGATAATGTGAGATGGCTTTGTACTTGGGCAGATTCTGAAGATTCTCCTCACTGAACTGCGACAAGAACCCACTATCATTTGACCAGAACAACCGTATATCGGGTATATCAAAGAGAATCATGGCGAGACGCTCCAGACCCAAACCAAAAGCATAACCAATCGATTGATGGACTCCAGCCTGCTGCAGAATCTCATGGCGCATGATGCCACAGCCGAGCACCTCCAGCCAGTTGTCCTTGAAATAGATCTCCAGTTCCCATGAGGGCTGGGTGAAGGGGAAATATGTGTCCACCCAACGGTACTTGATGCGTGGCCCAAACAAATCCTTGGTGAGACCCACCAGCACATGTTTCATCTCGTGCTCCATCAGTTTGACGGCCTCCAGAGTGTGGCAGGGTTGTTTGGTCTGATCCATGCACTTAGATGAGGGTAAAATGCGTTTGGGATCGGCAAGCGAACCCGTCCACGTCTCCTCGAACAACTCCAGGCCGGGATTACGCTCGAAGAGCTTATCTTTAGTGACCAGACGCACTGCGTCCGCTTGGTGGAACACTGGATAATGTGTGCTATCGATCTCATCCCGACGATAAACCTCGCCCACAACCAGAAAGTTATCCAGTCCGCCAGAGATGAGCTCCACCTGATGCGCTGTTGTATGGGCACGCAACAGATGCTTCCGATTAATGTAATAACAATCCGACTTCTGGCGACTCACATGATCGCTGGGTATGAGCAGATTATCAAAATTCTGCTGCACTGTGACCACCGGACTGAGTTGATCATAGACGGAAAACAGCGGATTTCCACGCTGATTGCGATAGGCGCCATAGAAATAGTTGACAATACGCTTACGTATTATGGCCAACGGATGATCCCGCTGCAGATGTTTATTCAAGCCCAGATGTGTCAATATCTTTGGAGTCACATTTGTCCAACTGTCCGTGGCATAAGTGCCTCCGTTGATCTCCAATTGCTGTGGTGTCGTTGTAGTCAGCTTCTTGGCCTCCTCGGCTGCACTGGTGGCCAACAGACGACGACGACTCGAGCACAGTCTTGTGCCCTGCACACGCAGCGTTAATAGCATTGCTTATTAATTGTTAAACGCAAAACAATGTATTGCATTGCTTGTATTATAAAACAACAGCTGATGGGTGTTATCGATGCGCGTGCGCTCAGTAAAGTTATCGATTGCTGGCAGTGAAATCGTTAGCCAGGGCTGCATGCCACTGTGTGCCGATGAAAATCGTTCGAATTTGAAAATACATTTCAAATGTACCATATTAATAATATTAATTATAATAATAATGATGTTGATTTTCCAACATGTTTAAAGCATAATTTATCTCTTAATGAGCTACATTTAGTCATATTTAAATCTTTAAATCAATATTAAATCAAAAACGATTTCCATTTTGGGTTTTAAAATTACGTTTTTATTTTATACAAAACATCAAAATTGTATGCCTGATTTACATGAACTTTAAAAGGCAAATCATCCATAGCAAATGTGATGAGTTTTTCAGATCGTTAAATGAGCCCAGTATGTAATTGATTTCAAATTTGACTGTTTGAGATGCTTACAATATTGGAATAAATTGTTGTTTACAATTAAAGTGATGAGGTGCAGTTGGATTGTATTGTGTTGATTTACACCAGTGGATAACTGGAGGCAGTAGCAATGCCGCACTGATTATCATCATTGCGGGCCATCTTAATGAAGCCCTTGTCGCCCCAGGTGGTGCCCCACGAGTTCTTCACCAGCCAATAATCCTTGCCGTTCTCATCGGTGCCATAGCCAACGACCAGAACACCATGATCCAGATTCTGAGGATCGCATTGTGGCTCATCGTAGACGCCCGTGGAATAGAACTGGAACGACTCATGGGAGGCATCGATAGCAACAGAAACTGGACCAATTGTAGCGACAGCCTGTGCCAATTTCTTCTCATCACCCTGGGGGATATCCGTGAAGCCACGATCCGTGGCACCAATTGTGCCCTTGTTGAAGTGGCAGGAATCATCGATGCCCTCATACGGATACGATTTCTCTGTGTCAATGCCGCCATTATCCTTGATATAACGGAAGGCGTTGTCCATGAGGCCACCGTTGCAGCCATTGTTGCCATATTTCGTGGAGCAATCAACCAGATTCTGCTCCGACAGTGAGATCAATGTGCCCGTCTTACGGAAATGCTGCCCCTCGAGAGCACCGGTACTGGAGAATGCCCAACAGCTGCCGCAATGTCCCTGATCCTTGACACCGGTAACGGCACCCTTGTTGCGCCAATCCACCGATTGTGGCAGCTTCACATGCTCCGGCGAGATGAATGTGACGCCCGTGAATGTGGCATCCGAGGCACTGCAACAAAGAAATTTAAAATAAATACAAGCAGGACAGGGAATTGAATATATAATCACTTACCGCAACTGCTTGTGGAGAGTATAGTTGAAGCCGTTCATTGTCTCGTGGAATTCGTGATGCAGCATATCGGCATATTTGTTGAGGCCCATCTTGAAGGAGACTTCGCCGGCGGCATAGAGCTGATTGTGCTTGGCAATCTTGTGTTTGTTCTCATTGAAGATCTTCAGGCGGAAACGTTCCTCGGTCTCATCCTGATATTGCTTGCGATGCTCAAGCTGTAAAAACCCAGAGAGAGAGAGAGAGAGAGAGAAGAGAGAAGCCGTGAAAATATACTGACAACTAGCGTGTTTTGTGTTATCAACAAGTTGTTTTCTGTTATCAGGACTTGTATATTAGCATTGTAGTTGGTACACTCATAAAAAAGCGATTAGATAGCAGCTGCTGCCCGTTTTTCATATATATATATTTTTTTGTATTAGCTAATGCACAGGCAGAAATACTCAAGAAAGCAAAATCTGAGATTTATAGCTATTAAGAATCCAATGGCAGATAAGCCCTGACACCTCATCTTATCACGCTAAGCAGCTGCTGACTGGCAGGGACACAAGTTGGCCAAAACAAAAGCCAGTAGCCCATAAAGCCCATAAAAATCATAAACATAAAAGCCATTTTACGAGCCATCTAAAAAAATTTGGGCAGCAGTTGTAAAAATATTGTGTCAAGCGCAATAAAAAAAAGGGACATCGGGTAGCTACAGTGAGCGCTCGACAGAACGAACCAAATAAAATGAAATTTGTTCAACAAATGTAAATTTGAGATTCCAGAGCAAAACATGTCTAATTTTAGCATTTGTATGGACCCGTTAAAGCGAAATGTTCCAAAGTAAACAGGAAACAATAATTATAAACAGATTCCAATTTGCAGCTATTAAAGATGAAATAATTCTCCAAACACTGCACAACCCTCATGAGTCAACCCATAATAACAATGAGCTACAATTGTCGCCCTGACCGGATGATGACGATAATGATGATGATGAAAAAATGTTGTTCTCTTAACTGGCTGGGTCTGGGCTCCATCATCGGAAACATCGCTCAGTCCATCAATGCGTGTTATTTTTGAAGTTTGCGCCGCTCTCGTTGCATATAATTGATCTAATTGCTATAAATAAGCTGCGTCTGCAGCTAAATTTGTGGAAAGAATACAAAATACAAACAAAAAAAAACCCGCCAATTTTGTTTTTTCTCCGTCTATTATTGATTTTTCGCATTTGTATATGAAAATTGTGTTTTATTATTACAAAAAATTTGCACATAAAATTACGTAAAAAATAGGCGTCAACGCTTAGGAACAGTAATTAAATGCACGTGCTAATATATAAATATATATTAGTTATCGCACCATTACAATAGCAAAAAAAACCAACACCCATTTAACCAAATCTATATATACAATAATATATATTGAGATAAATGTTTTTTGTGTTTTTCAACATGCTTGTTTCATTGTACAATTTATCGCTTTGTACTTTTGTCATCATTTATCCATAAATAGAAAATGTCCCTCCTCCATTGACGCTGAGTATCGTAAAATCTATATTCTACTACTAATATTTAGTTTTGTTGTTAACAAGGCAACACTGGTGGCGAGTGTCTTATTTTTGCCGCTAGAGTCGCTCCATTTCAATGTCTTCATCTGCTCTTGCTGGATGTCCTGATGATGTTGTTGGTGCATCGTATGCTGCTGCTGCTCCCGCTGCTACTCTACTTCGATCGGTCAAATCTTGATATTCTTTTCGCCTGCGTATGATATAGCACACTACGAAAACATTGATAACACACAGTACAATTACGAAGACGACGGGCACAATGACATCCACAACAAGATTTAAATCACTGGCGTTGTCCATTTCTTTTTGCCTCTTTTTCCTGATTTATATATTGTATTTTTTTTTTATATAATTTATATTAAATTTTTGGTTAGCACTTTGGGGCTTTAGCACGTTTTTTTTTTCTCCTCCTTTAATGTCTGATATGCTTCCCCTTTACTCTTTCTTTCTCGCTCTCTCTGTCGTTGTTGTTTGTTCGCTTTGATTTCGGCGCGCGCACTTTTGTTCTCTCCCTCTCTCTCGCTCGTCAATGCTTTATTTCAATCGCTCGCTCGCACGCTCTGCCAGTGTTGCGTCTGTCTGCGTTGAGTGTTCAGTTTGTAGTAATATCAAAAATAGCAGCCACAGCTGAGAGCTGTATCGTTGCTGTGCACACAACGCAAACACACACACATGCATAGCAGCACACAACACTGAGCATACATACCACAATTCAAATACTGCGATTTGTTGTTGTCCACATGTGTGTGAAAGTGTGTGTAAATGCAGGAATCGAAAATGGTTCCGCCAAACAAAACGAAATCAGGCAAAAGCGAACCAGTTTTTTCGTATATGAGAGAACTGATTTATTAGGATATGCATACTAGTCGAAATAAGACTAACCGGTTATGCAAAAGGCATAGCAGACTAAACAATGTATATCGAAAATCCCACACATTCGCATATGCACACAAATATCGCAACTAATCTGTCAGTTGTCGAGTTCTTGATCGAAAGCTTTTCGACATAGTTCATGTGTGGTACAAAAAAAAAAAAAAACGTAACAAATAGAATCGATAAGCGAAAAATATTCTGACGCAGCATAAATTTGAGTAAATTCAAACGCAAATAAAAATAACACAATTAATAATAACAATAATAAGCAAAGAGTAGCTAAAAAAAATAAGTGCGACTGATCTGCCTCATTTCACACGCTTATCGCTGGGGCAAGCGGCAGCAGGTCCAGTTTCAGTTCAAAGACCAGCTGCCTATGAGCGCTTTTTTTTTAATGTGTTTTTTGCATACATACAAAAAAAAACAAGTAAAACGGCCTGTAATGCAGGCAGCAGCTGGTTTGTTTTCTTTATCAACAGCGCTGCCGAAGCAACATAAAATGTGCAAAAAAAAAATAGGGTTAAATTCCTTTTTAAATGCGCCTAATGTTTATGCTACGCTTTCTTTTTCAGCACTAATCGAATTTAATACTGCACAAAAGTAGGCAACACTATTTGCTTGAGAAGTGGAGAATTTAAATTACATATATATACCAACTTTTAAATTTCAAAATATATAAAAAGTAATTCATTTATTACATTAATATGTGAATAAAGAAAAAATCGAATTATCTCAACTAATTCTAATTTCAGCAAGCTTTGCGTGTCCCAACAAAAACTAAGTAAAGAAATAATGCACATGTAAAATATTTAACATGCAATGCAGTAATAATTAAAATTAATTAATCGACAATGCATTGTATATATAATATATTATATATGTTCTCAGTTAGACAACGCAAAAAAAAACTCTCAACTGGGCAGACAGATAAGAAAACACGGCAAATGGGCACAAGTTATATTCTATTCTACTCTAATTGAAATTGCACAAACTGATAAGCCCGATTAATGCAGAGTTTAATACGCATTACGAATCAAACTAGCGCAAAGAACCCATGAACTAAAGCTCTACTTAAAAAAAGACAATAACTAACAATAGTAAATAAAAAATCAAGTTAAATGAGTCACAAAGAAGTCGGCAACTAATTGAATTAGAATATGTTGGCTTATCAGGAAGTTAAATGCCGCCATCGTGCAACACTAAAAAGCGGGCTTATCACAATTCAAATGAATTGAAGCGCGCAAATCCGCCAACAGAATTTATTTACTATCATCTTGCAATTTTTCTAGATGGATAGATCGTGTCATGTGAGCCGACATGTGACTGACATACATATGTATATATTCATAATCAGCTAGACGCAACAATAACGAGTGCAGTTGTTGCACTCCACATGACTCAGTGTTGAAGTACGCAGCAGAAACAATGGTTTAGAACTACTACGTCAGTGATACCACAAAAGATATTAATCATTAATCATCAATCATTATTCATGCATTTAAATTTGACACCTGCAACACTGAAAAAGAAACAAAAACCAAAACAGCTGTTGCCCCCCTTTTTATTACTCACTTTGAATGTCTGCCATTCTTCCTTGATAACATCGGCAAAAGAAACCGCTTGTGCCACAGCCACCAGGGCCAATAGGGCGAAAATATAAGTGCGCATATTAGCTGAAAATGAAAAAAAATAGATATTAATATAATTTATTATTATTCACATATCCAAATTCCCGTTCGCATTTGAAATGTTCAAGAAAGTTCGATAACTTCGAAATTAACGCCCCTTTTTGTGAATTAGAACCTATTAAATGTCGAATTAAGCTTTAATTAGTTTCAAGCTTAGCAGACGACATCACGTGATGAGCTTTGGCCCACACACACATACACAATAACGCAGAGGTTCAATAAAACGCAGACAAAGTTGACAGCCAAAGCTGATGAAATTCAAAAAGAACAATAACAAAAACAAAGCATAATAAAGCGCGCAAAAGTGTTAAGTTCAGCAAATTTCAGATAACATGCGTTTTAGTGTACATGATTAATCGTGGTGACCAGATGCACAACAGCAAACGGGGGCGGATATGCCAACAAAGCAGAACAGATAACTCAAAAAAAAAAAGTTCGGCAAAAATCTGAACAAAATGCTGAATGATATTCGCAATGCAATTATTTATTTAGTGGCTGCGACTTATCGAATTCGAAAAGAGCAGTTCCCGCAATCTTATCGGACATTCGCCTTGTGTTGGCTGTTCTGCTGCGTATTGCTAATGGCTTGTCCATCATTTTTTTTCAATTGTGTATTATTGGGTATAAAGTTTGAAATTAGTTTGTTGCTGCAATAACACAACAAACACCAAAATATTTATGCCAAGTTCGCGGTCACAAAACGGGTTTTGAAACCTATTTGAAGGTGATTCAGCAGCTACAAAACAGCAGACTCAGTTGCACTCACACTCGCACAAATAAAATAGTGTAGATAGAGTAGGATGGCAAAATAAATAACCAATTGATAAGGCAAACAGAAAAATAGGCCACAGCAAAAAAAAGTGAAGCAACAGCCAAAAACAAAATGCGCAAAGCCAGCAGAGGCAATAAAAAGATAGAAATGGCGACCAAAAGAGTGAAAAACCCCAACGAGCATAAATAGAAAAAGACAATAGAATAGAGGAGAATAGAAAAGAAGCAAAAGTCGAGACAGCTGAGATGCTACTGGAAAGTGCGAGATGGGAAAACAGAGAGAATCAACAGAGACAATGGCGAAAACTTGCTGTAAAATGCATGACGCACTTTAAAAAGTTGTATTTTAATGCAGTTTTTGTGTATGTAATGGAAATGAGTACTTAAATAGAATTCAGTACCAATATTATTATTATGCGGAAATAGAATCTTACCACTTAAAAGACACTCGCACAGACAATGACAATCACGTTTTAGGTTTATTGCGCTTTACCAAATACTTTCTGGGAACGTTTACGTTAATATGCAATTAAATCTGTTTTTTTTTTTTGTAATTGTTAGCTATTTAGCTGTAGCCGAGCACTAGTCTCGAACACTTCTCGTTTTTAAATAAATTCAGCTGCGATTTGTTGTTGCCAAGAAATCTCAACTACATATATTATATGTGTGTTTCAAATAATGGTCACACTGTCAGCAACATATGAGCTTAACATTCTGTAGCAGCTCAAAAGAGCTGTTGGGAATAGTATAAAACTATTTCGTGCTGTGAACTCTGCAAATCGACTTATCGACTTGACTCACTACCATCGCTAACAGCATGTTAAGCAACAGTTAACGCAAAAAGTTGACTTACTACCGTCACTACTTGCTGAAGTCAATAGCTGCTCGTCGTGCTGTTAAGTGTAGACAATGTTAAGCGACTGTGGACGCAACAAACAGCTTTGGCAGCTATGCGAATCAATTTATCGACTAACTACCTTCACTAACGCTAAGCTCAAACATTGCTCGAAGTGTCAGTTCAGCGACTGTTAATCCAAATAAATTAGCAGTGGCAACTCTGCAAATCGATTTATCGAATCACTACCATCACCAACAACTAAAGTCAAAAATTGCACGTCATCCGCAAAGCAAGCGATTTTTTTGTTAAAGGATTCCCAAAATTGTTTATATTTTTTGCACATTATATATCCAGTAAGTGTGTAGACATTCCAAAGGAAAAGGCAACAATCTAAAGTAATTATTTGCAGCTCTCGAGAAGCGGCCGCATCATGTTTGGCAGACAAAGCGGATTGGGCAGTTCGATTAGCTCAAATTTGGTTGAGTTTCGCGCAGGACGAATGAATATGGTTGGTAAAATGGTGCATCCGGATGCGCGCAAGGGTCTCGTCTACATGACGCAGAGCGAGGATGGCCTGATGCACTTCTGCTGGAAGGATCGCACCAGTGGCAAGGTCGAAGATGATCTCATCGTCTTCCCCGATGACTTTGAATATAAACGCGTCGATCAATGCAAATCGGGACGTGTTTATGTCCTCAAATTTAAGTCCAGTTCACGTCGCATGTTCTTCTGGATGCAAGAGCCCAAGACGGATAAGGATGACGAACACTGTCGTCGCATCAATGAACTGCTGAACAATCCCCCCTCGGCTCATCAGCGCGGGGGCGGTGGCAGTGGCAGCGAAGGTACCGATTTGCAGTACATGTTGAATAATATGTCGCAACAACAGTTGATGCAACTCTTTGGCGGCGTTGGCCAAATGGGCGGACTCAGCTCGCTGCTGGGACAAATGAAGTAAGAGTCGCTAGCTATCCAAGCTATAAGTTCACTTTGGCAAAATTCTTTACATTTCAATCTTAATCCTTTGCAGCTCCCGCACGCCTTCGTCCCGCAACACATCCTCCTCGGGTGGCGGCAGTGCTGCCTTGCAAACGCCCGAAAATGTTAGTGTGCCACGTACACCATCCGCCCCCACAAAGGGTGGCAATAACTCCTCATCCAAGTCATCCACGGGCAGCAATCGGAACAGCAACAATTTGCAGCCAAGCGATGTTGCCGGCGGCGGCAGCTCAAGCGGTGCCGATGGTACCTCCGATGCCTCCGGTAAGAAAACAGCGATTAGTTCCACTAAGACTAAGAGCGATGCAACAGCAGCAGCAGTGACTAGCAGCGGAGCATATGCGAATCCATTCCAAGCCTATTTATCGAATCTCTCCCCCGAACATGGCGCAGGTCGTTCACTCAATATCGACCTGTCGACAGCGTTGTCCGGTGCGGATGCAATCAATCAACTGATTGCCGATCCCGAGCGTGTCAAATCGTTGATTGTACACCTGCCCGAGTCCGAGGATGCCGACGAGGATCGCAAGCAGCAGATCAAGGATCACATCAGCTCCCCGCAATTCCAGCAGGCACTCGCACAATTCTCGAACGCTTTGCAATCGGCACAACTTGGTCCGGTTGTTAAGCAATTTGAGTTGTCCGTGGATGCGGTGGCCGCCGCCTATTCCGGCAATCTGGAGGATTTTGTGCGTGCCCTCGAGAAGAGTTTGCCCGCCGGTACCTCGATGGCCGTCGATGAGGCTGTCAAGGATAACTCTGCCGGCGCCGCCTCCGATAAGAAGGGCGATGCTGCTGATCAGTCTGGCAAGGAGGAGAGCGCCGCTTCTGGCGAGAAACAGGCGGATGAGAAACAAAAATAGCCCGCCTTTTAATTGGCCCGGATTTCAATCAATAATCCTCCCCCAAAATATATATATTTAATTAATAACAATTGAAACAATTGAAAAACCATTCATTTTTGTGCACATTTATCCAAGTTTTCGATGCAAATATAAATTGGCCATGCAAATACAGTGTTGGAAATCGTATTTATTCTATTTACAGTGATCACTCAATTGTCCATACAAATTCAGTGTTGGTATTTCTCTTTATATATTTGCAGTGATCACTTCATTGCAAGTAACCTAAACATATGAGAGTATCAAGAGAAATCAAAATTTAAAAAACAACTGCAGTAATTATTAGCGAGCGTTCACTGTACAAACACACGCATACGTATATTATGTTAAGCCGACAAGTGTTGCCAGGCTGTTGCTGACGAAAAGAACCGTTTCGGTTGCGTGCAAGTTGCCCTTGACTTATGTTATGATTTTTTCGGCTGTCAAATGACGCGCGCCCAATACGCATACAAATTGTACGCACTGTATGCTGTCGCTCTCTCTCGCTCTCGCACCTTCTCTCTCGCTTTCGTTAAGCGCGCTCACGCGCCGCCGCTGCACTCTCACTCTGCCGCTCTCTCGCGCTCTCTGTGGGTTACACAGATACACACACACACAAGGAAGAGTGCATGGTTTGCGAATACTTGGAGCAGATATGTGTTTTTATTCAACTTCAAACGGGCAAACCGCGCGTTCGCTATATCGCTTGATTTTGATTTTTCGTCTTTGATCTCGAAATTATCACAAAACAACCATAATAATCATAATCATCATCGACAAACGCGGTAATCATTAATTTTTGTGCGTACCATTTATTTATTGAGTGTCAGGTGGGGGGGGCGAGTATGAAATTCTGTTTGCTGTGTTTTGCGTCGTAAGTTGAATTTTTGTTTTTGTTGTTGGTGCTTTCATTTTGCAGCAAGCTGCTGCTGCTCACACACACACGCGCGTATCATAAGTGTGTATGTGTGTGTGTGTTTACTGCTATGTGTATAGTTTTTTTTTGTATTTTTCAATGCATGACTGCGCGCCGCATTATTGAGAAAAGCTTTTTTCCCCAACTGTATGGACATAAAAGTTAACGCGTCGCAGCAATAACGACAACAGCAACAAAAGAAAAAAAAAAGAAATAACAACAATTAGCTTTAGCGGCAGAGCGGTTGGCCAGCTGCGTTGGTATTGGTGAGCAGAAACGAGCGCACGTCGTCGTCTCGCTCGCACTCACCACACACACATAAAAGCTTGCAAAAAAAATAATATACATATATAAATATATATATGTATTATGTATATAAATGCGTGTGTGCGGTTTATGTATGAAAAACGTCGGCCGCTGCAAAAATTGTTAGTTAAGACACACATAAACAAAATACATTTTAAAAGAAATTCGCAAGTTTGTTGCTGTGGTGTGAGAGCAGCAGAGAGAACGAGTGCGAGAGAGAGAGAGAGAGACAGTGGGCAATTGCCACTCACTCAGAAGAGAGCAAAAGTTACTTTATCCCGGTAACGATCTGGCAACACCAACAACAAAAACAGCAGCAGCAGCAGCAAAAGAAATTGCGTTGCGGCAATGGCAACAAATTTGCAACAGCATTAAAAGCTTGCAAATTAACAGTTTACAAATTTTCATTTAATACAGCAATATACAAAATAATTAAGTAAAAATACAATCACGCGCTTACAACAATTAAGTAACAAAAAATAAAAGTAACAGTTATTAATTAAAGGCGACAAGCTTTAAGTGAAGTTCAGAAGCCAACAGAGCGGAAATCACTGGAAGAAATCTCCATTTATTTTAATGTGTAACAAAATAAGCACTCCACGAACATTCAATAACAATTACAAATCGAAAGAAAATTTCAACACTCAAACAACAACAACAATAAAAACAGCGAACGACTTGTCGCTGATAGGAGGCAAGTTAAATCCATAAAGCGCCGCATCAGCTGCAATTGTGCGATAAGGTAAGCAAACATTGCTAGCAGCTTTCAACTGTAACTGTATATGTATATGTCTGTGTGTGCGTGTGGGAAGAGATATGTGAAATGCTTGTCTTCTGTTTGCAGTGTTCGAGAACAGCTGCAGAAATTTCTGCACTCCCACGCGACAAACGCTCGCGCGCCATTTTAGCTCGAAAGTTATCTCAAGCAAGTTTTGGAGCCATTGCAAAACATACACATCAATTGTGTGCTAGTGTGTGTGTGCAATTATGCTGTAATGGCGCCTGAGCATATGCTATGGCAATTTCAAGAGCGAGAGAGCGCCACGAGCGAGACAGCTCTATAGTTGCTTGCGGAGCGAGAGAGTGAGAGAGAGACCGTGCTACGTTCTGTTTATGTTTTGGTAGAAAGGTCATATGGGTAATTTTCCTCTTTCTTTTTTTGTTGTGCAAGTGTGCATTACTGCAAATGCATGTGTGTGTGTGTGTGTGTGTGTGTGTTTCGTGTATTCCAATAAAACTGATTGAAGGACATTTGGGCAAAAAGTGCGCCTGTATTGGTATCTGTATCTTTTGCATTTACATTATACTTTTGTGTTTGGGGTTGCCACACTGTTCTACGAACACTTTCACTCAGCTCACCCACAAAAGTGGCGCTATTTCGGCATGTTATGCAAACAGAGTCTCATCAAATTCTATTTGGTTAGAATGGGATGAACAATTTCCAATATGGCCGACGTGGCAACCCAGAAAGAAAAGAAACCCACGCATTTCCGAAATCAAATGAGGTACATGTGAAATGAGAGGAGTGAGGAGCTTTCAGCTTCTTTTAGTCTGACATTGAACTTGAATGACGACACAAGCTACAGCTCAATACATACACACCTACATGAATACCTAATATATAGGTATATTATATATATATATGTATATTAACAGTATGCTGTAATAGCTTTCGCGAATTTTGCAGACTGCATCTCAACAGTTTGTTGTTTGTACAGAAACTTTTAATCGATATGCATTTTCTATTATTATTGCAGTGTTCAAAACATTCGCCCGCCATTTTAAAAGTTTGACTCAAAGCTTTAGCTTTTGGCATATGCATTTTTTTTTCGCTACTCGAATTTTGCAGTTTTGCAGCCACTATTATCTCTCTCACATCTCTGTAAGTGTTTGTGTGTGTGAGTGCGCAAAAGAAAAGGAAATAGCTGAAACGAAAGTGAAATGTTTTGTGTTTGTCTTCTTCGCTGTGTTCTTCGTCTTCTTCTGCTGCTTTGGCTTTGCTCTATTTATCGCATTGTCTGCACAAAACACCTGTTTAACCCTTAGTCAGTGCCTTGACAATCACACACGCACACATCTCGTCTTGAGAGATTCATCAAAATGAAAGCTTCACATTGCCAGTGTTACCAGTTTTGTATGCAGTTTGACCTCCTTGCGCCCAATGCCCAATGCCCAATGCCCAATGCCCAATTATATGCGAGGTTTCCAATTACACTGTTTCTTCACTGCAATTATATGGCTACCCTCAACTTCCCCCCTCACACTCCTGTAACTGTTCGTGCATTCAATGCAATGATAAGACTCTGCTGGCCCTGCGTGTGTGTGTCTCTCTCTTTGTGAGCATCATCATCCTCCCCACATCATCCCAGCCACTGAGTCAGCATTTTTTTCGGCTGAACGCAGCAAGCAAAGCAGATGATTTTCCGGTTTGCCAATGCAAAAATAAGAAGAAAACAATACACAAAAGAACAGTTAGCTTTGCATTGACGAACTTTAAATACCCTTGCAGACCATGCGAAGAGTTATTAAACTAAAAGCCAAATAAGATAAGAGTTATTTGAGTTTTTTTTTATGTATGACCAATATTTGCAAAGCATGATGAATCTTGGAGATGTCTTTTTAAGCACCAAATCCTCCGATCGTTAAATCGAATATGAACTAAAATTCATATTGAAACTTGACTTTTAAAAGCAAAAAGATTTCCCACACATATTCGATCATTCCTTTGCCATCTATATATATGTATATATATATATATATTTATATATATATCATTGATCTAATTGTACAATGTCCTTATGAGAGCTTAATCAAATGAATAATAGAAAAGTTTGAAGAAAATATCTAATTACAAAGACTTTCTTTGCATTAACCTGGGTTTTAGACTGGTTATTCCTATGCTATCGATATGTCTCTCGTATTGGATCTAATGGCTTAAAGACCATAAGCATTCAATCAAACATCTAATCAAACAAATAACTTAAAACTTTGCTCCAAATATCGTAGAAAGTGAAGATTTTCTATACATGAACCCAATACTTCCTATGGCAGTTACATTATAATATGCATTTGTGCAATACATCTAATCCGGCGAAATTCGAATGACATTTGTGTGACTACAATTCGAAAAGACTTCCTTATCAAGAAACGTTTCAAATTGATATAACTATATCGACTTATAGATTAAAGGTATATGCACTCATATAAGGGTATATATAACATCTGCTCTTTATTCACATGACTCCCGCATTGCGTCACACATTTGATGACAAAATTCAAATACCCTCAAAGAGTGTGGCAAAAAAAAGAAGAAAAATAAAGCAGTGTCCATAACTGGTTTTTGGCCAGTCTCGTCTCAGAGACCCCTGTGTCTGAGTCCCAATCCCAGAGACAATCGCTGCCCTTTTGCTCTGTCGCAACAGTCGTGCGGAGAGAATAAGACAATGTGGACAATGCTTGTGTTTGTGTTGTTTTACATGTTAAAGCTTAAGTTTTAATGCTGCTGGTTCAGTTAATGGTTTAGAAATCGACGGGCTTGATGGTGATAAAGCGCGACAGGATAAATGCCACCAGAACGGTGGCGCAAACGAAACAAAAGGCGAACGTGTAAAAGGACTCCTCGGTGAAGATATCGGTGAAAGCGGGTATGTCCTGATAGATCTGCTCAATCACAGCCAATGTGCCCTTGTGTTTCCTCACCATTTTGGCTGAATAGTTTCGAATTACGGCTTACAAATGGAGTCTTTTACTTCTTTTTGGGCGCCTTTTTGCCACCGGCTCCGCCGCTGCCACCCAATTTCTGTTTCTCGGCCTTGGTTAGCACCTTGTTTGTAATCTCCTCGGGTGGAGCCAAAGTCGAAACGTGCTTATTACACAGCTCCAGCAGCTCCAAAGTATTCAGATTGTCGCTGTTGAAGCGTATCTCCTTTGCTTGAGCTTTTTCTGCCAGATTTGGATAGATATTTAATAGTAAAGTGATTGATTAATGTGTATATATATTGCTCACCTTGCGCCGAATCGATTAGTGCAAATTTAATAAAGGCTGGCGAACGATCGCAGACAATGTCGGATTTGACAACGCACTTGGGATTCGATAGCGACACTTTTGGTGTGGAGAGCAGGAAGAGAAATTCTCTGCAAAGAAAAAGGAGAATATATGAAAAGATTTGAGTGAAAGATATATAATATACATATAAAAGATAATATATTCGTATGCCTGATTGAATGAATGGGGAATAAATGTGGAAAACTGTTTTCATCTTCTACTCGCATTTTCTATTAGAACTGTTCGCAGCTATTGATTGCTATGACTATAGATATACTAAATATATATTAATTTTTATATATATTCCGTGTCTGTTTCTTTAGCTGTCTTTTGCCGTGGCTATAGTGGAAGCAACGCCTCAAGCTGACGCCGACACCGACTAAGATGTCAACGGAGCGGGAGCTGGCGGGGGGCCCAGCTCAGCTCCATACGCTGCCGTTGACATTTCCACCCGATTTGGGCACAGCACTGCAACTGAACACAGCCGTGGGCATTATTGGCAAGGTTTATGGTAAGTTTCAGCTCTTACTTATTTTCCTTTTTATCAATTGCCAATTTGGTTGTAATACTTTTCTGCACTTTACAAATTATTTGTTTTCATTTTTTCGTATTTCTTTTGTATTTGTCATATTTCTCGAGAACGCACTTGGTTTCGTGAAAATCTTTTTTACCATATGCGTCGCATTGCGCATGTTTCATAATCGATAAATATTGTATGGGGCGCTGGGAAAAGCGCTTTTCCAACCCTACCCTACATACCTAAAGCCCCTCCCATTCCCCTCCACCCTTCCCCATCTTCTTCATTTACCGTGTGGATTTTACGTTTTCCGCAAACGGATCGAACTGCACTGTAATGCGCTTGACGCCTTTTAGATTAACACTCTTCAGCTGTTTGCCAATGGCCGAAACAATGCCGCCAGAACGACGCAATGTGCCGCTAAATGGCACCGACATTTTAAATGCAAAAGAAACAATTTGCAATTTGGTTTTATAACAACACACGGGCACAACGCATATGCCGATAACGCAGAGCAGCGTTGCCACCTAAACAGAGTGGCCGCATTTCGACGTCAACTGTTGCTCAACACTAGAACAATTAGTTAGCAGCACTAATACTGCCAAATTGAGTTTAACAGTGCCAAATTGAGTAAAAATGAGCATTGCGTACACAATTAATAAATGAAAAACGTGTTTTAATGCGTTATAAAATCATTAATAGTCAGCAATTCATTGAAAACAAGCTAAGACTTTAATTTATGAACATGAAATGCGTCACGCTCACACGTCGTGAGGCAGACAAACAGCATGTTGTTGTCGCACTCGCACGCACCAACCCCCAGCCAAAGTGCTTTGCCCTCATTTAAGTGTGGTTAGCGTACCAGTATGCGTCTCACTCACACACGTCGCGAGTAAAAATTTTGTGTTTGCTGCGGGACGTCCAGAGTGTGAAAAACTGAAGAAAATTGCATATTTTGCATAATGCGCGACGTGAAAAGCTAACAAAAGTTGTTCAAAACCAAAATTCAATAGTCTGGCCAACGTCTGTGTATAATTTCGGCTGCGCATACGTGTTCGGGTGCACAAAAACGACGTCTCGAAAAAAACACAAAAAAAATACGTGCACACATTTTTTGCTGCCCAAATCTAAAACGCATACTAAAGCATTTTCTTGCTGTCGTTTTGTCCAGCGGAGCACCCAGCAATTTTCACACACACAAACAAGCATAATAAAAAAATACACCCACACGCATTCACGCATACAGCCAAACAAAGATAAAAGGAGAAGCATAAAGAATAATAATTTGTTCATCTAAGATAATAATCTAAGAGCATTAAATATATACACACACACTTACATACATAAATACATACATACAATACATGCATATATGTATATGGGATATGTACATACAAAAACAATAACAACAAAAATACATATAAAACGAAAGCTGTGCCTACATTTGTGTTCTTTTCCAATACTAAACAATAAACAAGAATAAGAATAATATTAATAATAGAAATATAATATATATTATAAATAACAAGACTCGACGACAACAAAAAGCGAAAATTCAACGTAAATTCCAATTTTACATTAAATAAAAAATACTACGCCCGCAACAACAACAAGCGAAAATCAACCAAACGAATAAAACTACTTTAAAGTGTGATAAGCAAAAGGCTGAAATCAAAAAACAAAAAAAAACTAAGTATAATAATTAGTAGGAACGAAAAGCAAAAACAAAGAATAAATCCAACCAACTACAAGAACAATCAATTACATTTAAAACAACAACAAAAATACACCCATACACACAAAAAGAAAACATAGAGAAACCTTTGTATACATTCTTACATTTCTTAAAACAAATACTAGTGCAAAATGTATCCAGTTGGACAACGTAAGTGGACGATTGAAAATACAACAAGAACTATAACAAAACAGGCCACAACAAATCTCTGCCACATGTTACACACACACACACACACACACTCACACACAAAACCCATTCAGACATACCCCCTTCCAACTCCCCTCTTCAGTACAGCTCTTTGATGTTCTACTTTTGCAAATGCAAACGTAAACACACACACAGGCACACGCAAGTGTCTTTGCAAACACAAATCTGTAATATTCTCCCATGCAAATGAATGAATGAGTGTGTAAAATAGATGGTGATGAGTAATAACTGTAAAAGTGCAATAAGGCGGAAAGCTTCAAATGCAAATGCATCCAACTCACAGAGAGGAGAGAGGAATATGAAGAAGAAGAACGGAAGACGACAATACTTTGTAGGTGGCGATTTAATTGAAAAGTGCACGGCGCGAGGGAAGAACAAGAGCGTGAGAGAGAGGGAGAGAGATAGACAGGAGAAATTGACAAGCCTGAAACATGTGCGCAAAAATTGGGTCAACGACCGCAACGCAATAGTTGAGCTTTTAAGCAGGGGGATGGTGGATACAGAGGGGGGAACGTGAAGTGATGTGATTTGCTCCTTCGCTTTAAGCATCGCTCAAATTGCGTCGCACTTTTGTTGTAGCTTTTTGCGTATTAGACTGGAATGGAGAAGCGCATCTGTATCTATTGTGTGTGTAGAATAGAGAGAAGAAAAAAATACGCACACACTGATACAAAATCCCAAAATATGACAATGAAAATAAACTATTGAAGAAATAAATGAATTTTTGACAGTTTGTATATAATAATAACAACCATAAAATCCAGATATACACACGCATAGATACAACACACTTGTGGCAGAGGAACACTTGATTATTATTATTATTATTATTCTAATGATAATAGATTGACAAAAATATTGATTGATTATGAATCTGGGAGAAGTTGTAACTAAAAATATTAATCGCACTCTGAATAATATAATATTCAACTTTTTTTTTATTTTGTTTTTTTTTGGTCATCGCCTTCTTTCCTTTGGTTTTTCATTTCATTCATTTTGTTTCCTTTTATCAAACATAATTGGCCATTTGATTTAATTTGTATCTTTTTATTTACATATGTATATTTATTGTTTTTATTTTTTTTTTTGTTTATTACAATTTTTCGTTGAATTTTTGACAATTTTGATTTTGATTAAATTTTTTCTGTTTATAGAGTCACAGTGGACAACCCCCTCGCCCACGAGGCCTCAGAGCCCCTCTCAGGCGCAGACTAGCTTCGACACGCTCACATGTAAATTTCTCTCCAACAAAACCAAATTACTAAAAAACTACTAAAACACAAAAAAAAAAAAACTAAAAATTGAAAGCAAAAACTATTTATGTTCTTTAGTTAATGTTTAACCCAAAAAAAAAACAAATACTAAATTCTATCTAAAACCAAAGTCTATACTAATTCTAAAAAAAAGTCTACACACTAATTTTCATAAGTAATGTGCAAAATTTTTACTAACCAACCTTTTGTTTATGTTTCATGTAATGTTTGTTTTTGATTTACTCTTTTCGTTGAATGCAAACTAAACGCACAATTGTACTATTATTATTATTATTACTACTAAAACCAAAAAAAAAAAAAAGAACAAAATCCTGTCACACCCAAAACTCTACACAACAACGCGCTACCGTTATACTACTTGACCACCACCGCCACCACTTGTGATGTCTTTTGTCACGTGTAGATTGCAACTAGCTGCATGCCAGTGTTGCTCCTAATCTTTTTTTTTTATATTTTACATAAATAATAAATGTTTACCCTTGCAGTAGCAGATATTATGATATTTTTGAACACATTGTGAACTATACAAGAGATAAAGTGTATTCTTTATCCGGCTAACGAGTTGCTTTAGCCATGCTTGTCTGACTGTCTGTGTCGAAGCCACGCTTAAATAAATTGGCAGGCATTCTTATTTTTACTCTACATTCCGCAAAGTTCAAATAGTAATACTTTGTAAAATACCTAAAGTATAATTCTTGCAAAGAAAGCATCTATATATTTTCCAATAATATTCAACAGATTATATTTTTAACATGGTGCTCAAATTTTTTGGGTTCTCTTTATGAATGAAAATCATAATTTAACTAAAAATCGATCTGCACTTCTGCAAGGGTATTTCCTATGTTCGACAACGGCGAACTTGAATTTCTTACACAATTTTTTACTTAGTGCAGTTAATTAGTTTTGCTAGTGCGTCGCAAATAGTTGTTAATTTATTTAAATTGCGTATCGTCCACTCTGTGTTTGGCGACTGTGTTTTTTTTGATTTGTGTGGACTAATCGTGAATTTGACTTGCAGCACCACCAACACCCGGTTCATCGGTAAATCCCACCGCCGTGACCAGTCCAAGTGCTCAGAATGTTGCTGCGGGCGGTGCTACTGTGGGTGGTGCAGCAGCCGCTGCAGCGGCTCAGGCTGCCTCCGCCTTGGGCTCGACGGGCAGTGTGACGGCAGCGATTGCAGCAGCTGCTGCAGCATCGCCAACCACTCAACCGGATATGCCCGTGTTTACGTGCCCCCGTCGACCGAATCTGGGCCGGGAGGGCAGACCGATTGTGCTGCGTGCGAATCACTTTCAGGTGACAATGCCACGGGGCTATGTGCATCACTATGACATCAATATACAGCCGGATAAGTGTCCGCGCAAGGTGAATCGCGAGATCATTGAGACCATGGTGCATGCCTATAGCAAGATCTTTGGAGTGCTCAAGCCCGTCTTTGATGGGCGAAATAATTTGTATACCCGGGATCCGTTGCCCATTGGCAATGAGCGGCTGGAGCTGGAGGTAACGCTGCCCGGCGAGGGCAAGGATCGCATCTTTCGGGTGACGATCAAGTGGCAGGCTCAAGTCTCCCTCTTCAATCTGGAGGAGGCGCTCGAGGGACGCACCCGTCAAATACCCTACGATGCCATCTTGGCCCTCGATGTTGTCATGCGCCATTTGCCCAGCATGACGTATACGCCGGTGGGACGCAGTTTCTTTAGCTCACCCGATGGCTACTATCATCCCCTTGGCGGTGGTCGTGAGGTCTGGTTCGGTTTCCATCAGAGCGTGAGACCCTCGCAATGGAAAATGATGCTCAACATTGATGGTGAGTGATGGCCCCACTGCCATTTCCAATTGAGTCGAATACTAAGTAAAGTTCTCTCTGCTCATGTTATAGTTTCGGCCACTGCCTTCTACAAGGCTCAGCCCGTCATTGATTTTATGTGCGAGGTGCTGGACATTCGCGACATCAACGAGCAGCGCAAGCCGCTCACCGATTCGCAGCGCGTCAAGTTCACCAAGGAGATTAAGGGACTCAAGATCGAGATTACACACTGTGGCCAGATGCGTCGCAAGTATCGTGTCTGCAATGTGACCAGGCGACCAGCTCAAATGCAATCGTAAGTGCACCGAACTAAGTTTCAATCTTTGCCAAAACTATGGCTGTATCTTTTTGTAAATGGTTTAATCTCTAGTCTGTAATACAGCATTTAAAAGTGTTCCAATTAACAATGTTTTACACTGATCTAAGCTAATCGAAAACAATTGCGCTCATTTTGCAGCTTCCCGCTGCAGCTGGAGAACGGTCAGACCGTGGAGTGCACCGTGGCCAAGTACTTTTTGGATAAGTATCGCATGAAGTTGCGCTATCCGCATCTGCCCTGCCTGCAGGTGGGTCAGGAGCACAAGCACACCTATCTGCCGCTCGAGGTGTGCAACATTGTTGCCGGCCAGCGTTGCATTAAAAAGCTGACCGATATGCAAACCTCAACGATGATTAAGGCCACGGCACGCTCTGCTCCGGATCGTGAGCGCGAGATTAATAATCTGGTGAAACGGGCTGATTTCAATAATGATTCATATGTGCAAGAATTCGGCCTGACCATTTCCAACTCGATGATGGAGGTGCGTGGACGAGTTCTGCCGCCACCCAAGCTTCAATATGGGGGACGTGTCTCGTCGGGCATCACGGGACAACAGCTCTTTCCGCCACAGAACAAAGTGTCGCTGGCATCGCCAAATCAGGGCGTTTGGGATATGCGCGGCAAGCAATTCTTCACCGGTGTCGAGATACGCATCTGGGCAATTGCCTGCTTTGCGCCGCAGCGCACGGTGCGCGAGGATGCATTGCGTAATTTCACCCAGCAGCTGCAAAAGATCTCCAACGATGCCGGCATGCCAATCATTGGTCAGCCGTGCTTCTGCAAATATGCCACAGGACCGGATCAGGTGGAGCCAATGTTTCGTTATCTGAAAATCACCTTCCCCGGCCTACAACTCGTGGTCGTTGTGCTGCCTGGCAAGACGCCCGTCTATGCGGAGGTGAAGCGTGTTGGTGACACGGTGCTGGGCATGGCCACCCAATGTGTCCAGGCGAAGAATGTGAACAAGACATCGCCACAGACCCTGTCCAATCTCTGTCTGAAGATCAATGTGAAACTGGGCGGCATTAATTCCATACTGGTGCCATCGATACGACCCAAGGTCTTCAATGAGCCCGTCATCTTCCTCGGTGCGGATGTCACCCATCCGCCAGCTGGTGATAATAAGAAGCCATCGATTGCTGCTGTTGTTGGTTCGATGGATGCGCATCCATCGCGTTATGCGGCCACGGTGCGAGTGCAACAGCATCGCCAGGAGATCATTCAGGAGCTGAGCAGCATGGTGCGTGAATTGCTCATCATGTTCTACAAATCCACCGGTGGCTATAAGCCACATCGCATCATTCTCTATCGTGATGGTGTCTCTGAGGGTCAATTTCCGCATGTGTTGCAACATGAACTGACCGCCATACGCGAGGCATGCATCAAATTGGAGCCAGAATATCGGCCGGGCATTACCTTCATTGTGGTGCAGAAGCGTCATCATACGCGTCTCTTCTGCGCAGAGAAGAAGGAGCAGAGCGGCAAATCGGGCAATATTCCAGCTGGCACCACAGTCGATGTGGGCATCACACATCCCACGGAATTCGATTTCTATTTGTGCAGCCATCAGGGCATCCAGGGCACCAGTCGCCCCTCGCACTACCATGTGCTCTGGGATGACAATCATTTCGATTCCGATGAGCTGCAGTGCCTCACGTATCAACTGTGCCACACTTATGTCCGTTGCACGCGCTCCGTCAGCATCCCGGCGCCGGCATATTATGCCCATTTGGTTGCCTTCCGCGCCAGGTGAGTTTATAGTTTTCAATTAACTCATTCTATATCTTAAACAACCCGTTAAATCACTTTTTTGCATCTTAACAGATACCATCTGGTTGAGAAGGAGCATGATTCCGGCGAGGGTTCACATCAGAGCGGCTCCTCCGAGGATCGCACGCCCGGAGCAATGGCCCGAGCCATAACGGTTCATGCCGACACCAAAAAGGTCATGTACTTTGCCTAAAAAGTATCCAAAAGCCACACCAAAAACACACAAACAAACAAACAAACAGCAAACAGCAGCAGTAACAAACAGCAAACAAACAACAAAAAAAGAACACTTAATTTTCGGAGAAATGTATTCGAATAAGCGAGTCGCCAACTCGAAAGAAATCGAAAAGGATAAATTGGAATATATTATACGAAGAAGAAGAAGAAGACAAAGAGGAAGAAAAAGGCCAAGTCGGGAATTATTAGTGATTAAGTTGAAAATGATGATGATGATGATGATTATTTTTAAGTTTAAAAGTTAGGTCAAGTCGCGAGTTAAAAAAGGCAACGCCAGAACAGCTCTTATGGAACAGATTTATGCATTAGCTTTTAAGGCCAATGGATAAAACACACACAAACACACACAAAACAAGCACACACACAACACACCCCAACACACCCACACACGCCAAATTTTAGAAAATTAGAAACAAAGGGAATCGAATGTTAAAAGCACAAGCAGGCGCAACAAATGTGAAGAAGGAGAATTCTCAAACAACAAAATATAAATAAAAAATCAACAACAAGCGTAGCGAAACAAAAAACTAAAGGGAACAAAACGAAAGTCAAGAAAATCAACAACAACAACCGCAAGAAAGCAAAAAAAAAAAAGAAAAGCAAACAAACATTTACGATGAACTTTTTGTAATAGAATAAATTATATTTTTACACAACAAAAAGAAGAAAAAAAGTGAAGACAAGAAATGCAAACAACCAAAGGTTTTTAGTATATCAAAACAAGAACATTTTTGCTGATTAACTCAAATACACAACACACACAAAACATACACACACAACAAATACAACAACCAAACAACAACTCGGAATTCTCTGTACTGTGAACGAAGACCACCACCAAGCTTATAAAACAAGTTTAAAAATGACAAAAACAACAACAACAAGAAAAACCACAACAATACGACAAGCATTAAAGAGTGTAATAATAATTAGCCATCTACTAAAAAAACAAAAATACTTCAATACTACAACTCAAAAAAATGTCCAGAATTGTAAAAAGCTAACTTTTTAGTAGTCTTAAGTTTGGTAAATACCAAAAAAAAAAAAAAACAACAAAAAAAAAGCAAAAAAAGAGTAAAACAAAAAACAAAAATGAAAACTCCAATTTCAACAAGGGACAAACTTTTGGTCAAACAATTGCTAGTTATATTTATATATACTTATATACATGTATGTGTATATAATATTTAGGCATCTATATATATATATATGTATATGTATATATATATATATATATATATGTATATGTATATATATATATATATATATACGTATATTAAACGCTAGACGTGACTTTTATGCAAAAAAAAAAGAACAGAAAAACTACAAATTCTTAAAAGTTTTTGATCGGTGTGCAAAATGTAATGCTAATAAGTCAATAATCATGGTAAATGAAAGTGAGTTATAGTTATAGGCAAATAGTTGATATGATTTGTATAAACCAAACACACACACAGCATACACACACACACATAATACACACACCCACACGGCATATCAAAACCCAATGTCCAATTAATTTATGTACCTCTAATTAGCTCAACTTAAGTTGCTTAATTTTAACACAAAAAACAAAATGCTGTTAATTGTATTAATGGAAGTCTTAACAAATTACGTGGTGTACGGGTAAAAAGTAATATGCTAATTAATCGCAAGTCTATATCACTCATTTATATCTATATATACGTAACTATATATATTTATATATACATATTTCGTTTGTTTTATTTTTTTAACAAGCAGCTCTTAATTTTTAGTACTTTAGTTGTTTGCCAAACTTACAAAAAACAAAAATACCATTAATAATAATAATAATAATAATGCATATACAAACATATGTACTTTTATCGAGGACACAGTTCAAGTTAACATTATGCTGATTTGTTCCAATGACAAATCCAATTTATTTATAACTATTCCTCCCTCGCACGATTCTTTCAAATAAGTTTTTTTTTAAATTATTTTTTATTTTTTTCTCTCTGCCTGTCAAAAGCGTGTCGTCTACACAAACACACACATATATATACACAAACACACACACACACACACACACACACACATACGCGTACAATACAAACATTTATAAATTATAAACATTTTCAATTACAAATTAGTTGTTAAAAAAGAAAAGAGATAAACGCAAGATAAAAAGTTGTGTGACTTTTTGTAACTTGTTGGTTTTCTTCTTTTTTTCCTTTTTAAATGTATTTGTATATTTTATTATTATTATTATAAAAAGAGAAAAACATACACAAATAAGTATCTAAAAAAACGAAAGAAAAAACATTAATTATATAGCATGTTTTAACACAAGGGATTAAAATTGTACATTTATTTCTAAAAACAAACAAACAAACCGAAATCGAGTAAACAAAACAACAACAAAATGAACACAATACTAATTTTAAGCATATCCAAAATGATGCAAGAAGCAACCAATGTAAACGAAACAATGCAAATTATAATGCGGGGTCTCTTAAGTTTAGTTTCTACTCGTAGTGCCCGGGTCTCTCATCCAAAAATCCCCCCCATTTTGATGTACTTTAAGCTTAACTTAAATTGAATTATGTGCCGACAATGAATGTGTATAACCTTGTAATTGTAATAATTGTAATCGCTCCTTCGACATTTACATAGAGCAAAGTCTAAAGCTTTAACTACTCGCGATAAAGCCCCAAATAAATATATATATATATACATATATAGAATCTATCATATATATACACATATAAATGCCCACATACAGTTGCCACTTGTGATTAAGTTGGGCACATACCTTAATTACCACATAATCCATACTATATATATATATATATATCTATATATATATATATGTGTATGTACAGCTGATAACAATTGCAATAAAAGAATACTTGTATTTCCAAAAATCCTATAAGCAAAGAAAAACACAACAAAACTTTCATGGTTTCTTCACAAATGTCGGCAGCTAATTAAACAATGGAAATTATTAAAACACAATATCTCTAATATATATATATATCGTACTTATATATATATACATATATGTGTGTAGCAGAGAGTGAGATTTGCATAGAATAACATGGTATATATGGTTTGTATGCCATATTATCGGCTGAATAGAAATCGTAAATACTGAATATCAAATCCCAACTGAATGTAATCCTTCTTTTTCCTGCTCTGCCAAATATATATACTATATATATATATATATATACATGTAGCAAAAAAGACCGGGAAGCCGACTATATATACATATATATATATATACAATTAGTGCTTCTTCCACTTTCTATGTGTCGAAATTAAATTGAGCTTTAAACAACAACAAAAAACAAAATAATACTTGAAAAAAGTGGAACAAAATCTTGTTGTTTCTAACAATTATTACTTATAAATGTGCCGTTTATTGCAAACTCAATGGATAAATAAATAATAATAATAATAACAATTTAATATTAGCAAATAAGTACACAATATATGAATGTCTACAATAACATACAAGTATATATTATATACGTATATATATATATATACATATATATATATATATATTCAACATAAATTAGAGAGATCTGAAAAACAAAAAAACGAAATTACAGCAATTGCACAACTCTTCCTAAAGGAAATAAAATTATATGCCACAATTAACAAAAAACAAAGAACTAAACTCCAAGCAATTATATACGTTATATTACAATACTGATATATATGATCTATATATGATATATATATATATTTATATATATATATATAGATGTATATTTGTGTACTCAACTCTTCCAATTAGTCGTCCCACACAAAAATAACAACAACAACAACAAACCACGCCCACAGTCGTAGTGTTCCAACAAAACAAAATCAACCACATTTCAAAGACAACAAAAGCAAAAACATAAATAAATAATATTAATAAAAATAAAAACAAAAAACAAAAAAAACCTTAGCTGAAATTGGATTAGTAAAAATCTTGAACAGAAAAATAAGCAAGCAAAAAGTACTCGTAAATCGTAAAGGTATCGAAAAGAATCGTCAGAGAAGCTTACAAATTACTTACTTATATATAGATATATATATATATATCTGATTTATCTGATCTAAATACCGTTTACGATCAAATTGCAAATGAAAAACAAAAAACGAACGAAGCAACACCCTTACTTTAAAGATTTCAACCAAAATGCCGGGTAATTAATCAATAACATGAATTAATTATTAGTTATTATTTAAGCAAAATGAGCTAAAATACATTATTCGTAAACAACAAGAAAATAAAAACACTTAAAAAACTAAATGAGAAACGTAAGCAACGTAAATATGGGAAATCTGTAACTTTGGTGATCTTTTTAAATGTTATTAGTAAAAACAAAAAATACATAATTAAAACAAAAAACAAAAAAAAACTAAAGAAACAACAAACCACAACAAAAATCAAATCAAGTTCTAAATGTGACTTAAAATACGACGTAAACAATTTTGCACAGTAATTCTAAAAACAAAAAACTTATGTAACGAGAGATCAGAAACAATTAATTTAATTCAATTGAACATTTTGAAAGATCTTTTTAAGATCACGATCAGATCAGCTGTCTAACAATTAGTTATTAAGCGCTTCAATACAAAATAGTTTATATGTCTAACAATTAATGCAATAATTAAGTTAAATTTTATACAAAAAGGAAACGAAACAAAACAAATCATACCTTAAACAACATTTCTAATTAGTTTGCAAGTTTTTGCGGTTTTACAAAATGTTTTTATTATTTTTCTTAAATTTCGACAAAAATTTTGACAATTTAGTGGCAATCTGCAGATATTCATATGTAGATCCAATATAACATATTCGATTGCATTAAAAACAAAAACAAATAAAACAAGATACAAAATACATAGACACCTATTTTTTGTTCAATAAAATATATATATATTTAACTAAAAAACAATTGCGCCTTATTTCAATGAGACAACTAATTTGAATTTAAAGTCACCTTGACACATTCCAAATTTCAATTCACCTCGAGTAGTCAAATTTGAACTGGCAGCACTGTTCGCTTCGATAACATCCAAACGCAAGAATCGATATGTACTCATTATTACGCTGGCCACTTCGATTGCTATCGCTGGGCAGAGGAAGAAGCGAGGAATTTGCCTTGAATTTGCCAAGATTTTCGGATTGCAAAATGTCGAAGAGTGCATTGATTATCCTGGCACCCGGTGCCGAGGAGATGGAGTTCACCATAGCCGCCGATGTGTTGCGACGTGCAGGCGTAAGTACAGAGAGAAAAAAAAACCTTTGCCGGCTATTTATAGCATCAATTTCTGTTTCCTCAGATAACTGTAACTGTTGCGGGATTGACTGGAAGCGAACCCGTTAAAGGCTCTCGCGATATTTACATTGTGCCTGATAAATCGCTCAAGCAGGCAGTGGATGCGCAGCCCTACGATGTTGTTGTCCTGCCCGGCGGATTGGGCGGCTCGAATGCCATGTGCGACTCCCAGGCAATTGGAGATTTGTTGCGCGCACAGGAATCGGCGGGCCGTTTAATTGCAGCGATTTGTGCGGCACCAACAGCACTGGCTAAACATGGCATTGCCACCGGCAAATCGTTGACTTCGTATCCGGCCATGAAGCCGCAGCTAATCGATAAATATTGGTGAGTATTTCAGTGTTTACTGCAGTGTTGAATTTCACATTTTAAATGTTTTCAATTTTTTACAGCTATGTGGACGATAAGAATGTGGTGCAGGATGGCAATTTGATTACCAGTCGTGGACCCGGCACCGCCTTCGAGTTCGCCTTGAAGATATCGGAGCAGTTGGCGGGCGCTGAGAAGGCCAAGGAAGTTGCCAAGGGTTTGCTTTTGACCTTCAACGAATAATGCTCCTAAATCATCTCAATGTTCTAAGCATATAGAAAAAGTAGTGATAATAAAAAAATAGTGCACAAAAACGACAATTGAAAATAAGGAGTATCGATAAAGTAGCGTTATCGATTATGCTGCCCTTCAAACAACCCCCATAAGTTGGAAAAACGCAATTTGAAAAATAAGAATTGCCTCGCTTAAGGCATTTTATTCTGCTTATTGTTGTTCAGTTTTCAATTCGGGTCTAATGCAAATTTGAAAGGTTACGCCAGTTGTAGCATGACGTCACAATCTGCGCTCAGCGCAAGTCAACATGCAGACCGGTAGCCCTGTACACACTGGCCATGCATAGAATGGACCTGTTTCTCATTTCCGTGCATTATCTCATGCTCTCTTGTGTTATCGGCGCCGCATAGAATTCATTTCATTTCACTTGCTCAATCGATAGACGATATTAGTTCCAAATCGTAAGTCAAACCGGTAGGACGTGTGCGCGCAACGTTCGAGCCGTCTTTGCCCGTTATATTCGCATTGCATTTTTCGGTAGAATTAAATTACGCTGCTCTTGGGTGTTTTTCAATGTATGTGTGTGTGTGCGCGTGTAATTTGCTCACGTGAATATTATAATTATTAGTTGTCATTATTGTGCTAAGATATCGCCCCGTATATTGTATGTGTGTGTGTTTGAGTGCCTTTCTTGCGTGTGTATTTGTGTAAGTGCTGTCTGTGTAGACGCTGTCTATGTTGTTGTTGTTGTTGTTTCTTTTTGATACATTGCACAAGTGTAACGGTATCCACATACATAGCTAGAAGTGCATCAGGCAAAACAGCAGCAAAAAGACAACAACAACAGCGACTCTATTGTAAAGTGTGTGTAAACGAAGTGCAAACCCAAAGAGTAACACAGAAAATATAAATTGTGCAGCTCATTCAAACTGCACGCGTGTAAAAAGCGCAAAAGAGATACCAACAACAGCAGCAGCAGCAACAACAACAAAAGAGTAACTGCAACAATAACAAAATTGGAACGATCCGCTTGCTTAAATTGCCATAAATTATTTTATAATTCTTTTTCGCACATACACACACACATTTATATGTATTGCACTTTGTTCGCTTGTAAATGTAAAAATTAACATAAGCATCTGAGAAAGAAAAAGAAAAGGTTGCCAAAAAAAAAAAAACATAGTGGAAGCCACAACAAGCAACAACAACATTACATTACCCTTCTCAGCTCAGCCGCTCCTTGTGCTCTCTCCCTATCTCTCTCTCTTTCGCTGTAACTGCTGCTCTCTGCTGCTGCTGCTCCTTATGACTCAGCGGCAGAGCTGCTCGCGTCGCAGCCCGTTTTGAGGGCAATGCATGGGAGCAAAAAAAAAATACAAGAAAAAAAGGAAAAAAAAAACCACAACGTGCAAAATTCAAAGCTTCAACGAGTTTGATGCTGCAGACTGTGACAAATACAAAAGTGTGAAGCAATCAAATAAGAAAAAGCATTAAAAAAGACAGAAAAACATCAGGAAAAATAGAAAACAATAAACTGTATTTGTTCTCCAAATGAATTTTTAGTTTCAATTGCTTAACAGCCGCCAACATTTGTTGCTCTGCTTGTGTTAAATAAACAACTATCTCATTTGTTTATTAACTTTTATTTACGCTTAAAGAGTAAAAGCAAATTTGTGTGCAAGTGTGTGTGTATATATGTGTATGTATATAGATATATATGTGTGTGTTTGTGTGTGTGTGTGTGTTTAAGAATTGTGTCAGCCGCATGACCCTCTCACGCTCCCTCTTCCTCTGCTAGCATTGCTGCCGGCAGAGGCCGGTTAAAGGCAAAAGCTGCGATGCTCTACAGATGCAGCAGCAGCTCTTCCTCTTGTTCTTCAAAAGCTCTCTGCGCTTATCAAAGTTTGCATTGTTGTGCTAATTGGGATCAGCTTAAATTATACTTATTCTATTGTTTTGTTTTCTGTTTTTTTTTGTGTGCGCTCTTGAAAAATCGATAGTCAGGACTATGTGCAAGAGTGTGAGGAGGAGGGGTGCAGCTACAGTGCTTGCTAGTTGGGTGACACACTCACGCACTCACACACATACAAACATTCCTATCACATGTTCCGTTTTTTGATCATTCAATCAGCATACGCATTACTCACACATGCACACACACTGGCACATTCAACCTGCCTGCCAATGGCAGCCCTGACACTGACCACAACAACATGCACACACACACACACAGCAGACAGCGTCTGCAGAGAGATGTGAATGTGTCTGTGTGTGTCTGCCTGTGTGCGTGTGAGAGAGAGTGCAAGAGACTTCCGCTCTCAGAGTTTACCTTTGCTTGTGCCGGGGCCGCTCTGTTTACAATTTAGCGTTTTTTTTTTGTTTTTGTATTTCTGATGTTCTTTCATTTTGCTTGTTCTTTTTATAAACAGTAAAGTTCAGTGGCTGCTAAAAATGCACGCAATCAACCCCCAAACACACACACACACGAGCAGGATTTAGCGTTGGCCGTTTGGCAGCTGGCCTAATACATTACAGTGGTTGCTGCATAATTATCAATACCAGAAATTACAATTTATCAAAAGAAGGAAAAAGATGACTGCAAGTAAATGTAAATGTAAATGTATTTTTGAGTATACTTTATTTGGTATTAACGTAAAATAGTTTTCCAGTCAATAGTTGAGGGTTTTAAGTTACCACTGTGCACATGCAGCATTCGCTCGCTCTCCCTTTCCCTCTCTCTCTCTCTCTCTCTCTCTCTCTCTCTCGCTCGCACACTTTACAACTTGTAACATCATCAAATTGATTTGCTGCCCTGGACTAGAAAAAAACCCATCAACTCAAGGGTTGCAGTTGTTGTTGTTGTTCTGTTTGTTGGCCCCGGAAAATGCACTCGAGCGTTGACTGTAGTTGTAGCTGTTTTACTGCTTCTGCTTCTGCTTCTTCTTCATCGTCTTCTTTTTCTTTTTGCTGCTGCTGTCTGACAAGTTCTGCGTTTTTCCATGCACTTGGGCCAACAACTATGTTTTCTATTTTTTTTTTTTTTATTATTTTGCCTTAACTCCTTCCACTCACAGCTAAAAAGTTGCCCTCACTCTTTGGGTCTGGGTGTGTTTTATTTTTCCCTTGCCTGAACTCTCGTGTCTGAAGTTCAAGTGCCCGCTTTGCATGCGAATTGAGGGCGTGCCACGTAAGAAGGTGTTGGGAGATGTGCTTTTTATTTCTATTTACCAGTCACGTCCGATTAGCCTAATTGAAGCCACACACATTTGCGGCTACTTAGTGGCCACAAAGTTTCACTCCAAATAGATATGACATACCCCTAAAAGAAAAAAATAGAAGAAAAACCCACTAATTATTCCAATGGGTGACTAAATGCTATTTTAAATGTTTGCTTCAATGCGTTACACACTGGATGACTTAATTGTAATACCCTGCGTATAAATGGAATACTCTTATCAATTGCAGATGTATTTCATCATCATCTTCGTCATCAGGTCGCATGTCAATCTATTATCTAATGTGTGGCATCTGCGATAAGCGCGGGGAACACAAGACAAACGCAATCAACGCAACTTCAGTTTACCCAGAAATATTATTAATAAGTCTGTTTCAATTTTTAAAATGTTCAACTTCCAACTAATTAAAGTTCTGCTCAGGCAACGCCTACAAAAAAAAAAAAAAAAAAAAATAAATAAAATAAAAGAACTAGAAGTAGAGGCTTCTCTGTGAAAGGAAAGCCCCAATTAGACCGCCAACTGACGCTCGTAAACATGAAAATTAAGTGTTCTCAAACTGGGCTCCCATTTTAACAATTAGCGGCTAGACAGTTGAAAAGATGAAAGACGAAAGACGAACTGATGATTAGTTCTTGCATGCTGACTTATGGTCACTTTTTTTTGGGTTAAAGAGTAGCCCGTCTCTAAAGGAATAAACAGAGACCGGAGTATGTCGGGAAATAAGAAGAAAAACGTTAAAGATTGGTATGCAAGAGACGCAAGTTGCAATTTATGAATTATTATGGGTAAAAGGAGTAGTAGTTAAAGGAATAATCAGAAATCAGCTAAATATATTTATGTTTATGGCTTATGCATCTTATGCAAGGCAGTTGCAAAAAGTAGGTTGTTTGTAAAAGGAAGAATCTGCAATTGGAGTGCAGAAAGAACCAAAAAGATGTTTAGGATTCTTTGCATAAGGCCAATGCTGCAAATTATGCATTTTTATTTGGGTAAAAAGAGTGGGCAATTTGCAAAAGGAACAATTAGAAATCGGAGTAGTCCAAGAAGATTATGCTTATTTTGCAAGAGAGAAAATATAGAAATTATGAAGAATAAATCTCACACCTCCCCCATGGAACACGTTTGAATAGATGTATCTCAAAAAGAGAGAGGAGAAGATCAAAAATTATTTGAAGACCTAAAATATTCGAAGACTGCTGCAATCCCAACTCGAATATCTACTTAGAATAATACAAACGACGCCTTTTTAAATTTGAATAAAACGACTGGGTAAAGCTGCTAATTCAACTCGAAGGTTAATTAAATTACAAGGCAGTAGAATTATATTGAATAGTAATCAATATTATCATAAAAAACCAGTTCAATAAAACTTCTCAGGAAAGCAAAAAAAAACAACCTTAGCTCCACTGAGATATCAATTTAAACATGCAAATTATCGAAGCTATTAATTTGTTATTAATATTTAACTAGATTATGAGTCAGTTTTAAAATTTGACATTCAACTCGATTGGAATGTGAAAAATGAGTTGGGAACATCGATTTAATTGAACTCGTTTTCAAGTGATATGCAAATTGCTGGCTAATTGGATGAACCTACAGCACCCTGCCCCAATCCCCCGGTTGTCTGATAACTAATAGCGTGCCCCATTGCCCCAAGGCATGACATAAGCAGCATGGCCGAGTCCATAATAGTTGCTGCGTACAAAAGCAATGATCTAATGTGGAGTCGTTTACACAATCAATGCATTTTCAAAAATGATTTCATTTCGCTTTTTATAACGCGTAACTAAAGCCGTTTATTAATGCTTGTCAGCTTTTGGCGGGACAATTACTACAAATTATTGTTCCCA